CTCTAAATGTTATTATAGGTTTTAAAATGCTGTCTTTAAAATATTAAACATAACTTTATTTGGATTTCTAACATTAGGAAACATCCCCATTACAGCATATTTTTGAATTCTCTTTTTAATACAAAGCCCTGCACTTACGTCACGCTTTAGGCTATATATTTTAACGCCATTAAGCTTAGGGGATTAATATTTTATAAAAACCCTAATGTGGGAAAGAGACCATAAGTTGCTGCCAACATCAAGGAAGCAAGGTTGTCGTCATGTGTCATTTTGATATTTGTAATTGATAATTCGACAAATGTAAACAATATCATAAAAAATTCATAATTTCATGCGGATGAAGTCGCACGGGAACAGCTAGTATGTATTAAAATAACTCAAAAACGAATGAGTAAGTTTCAAAAATTCCCTCACCATTAAAAAGCTACGTTATCGCTGTGTAACATAGTATGCATCTCCTCCACCGTCAAATCCACTTCCCCTTCCCAACCTCTCCTTATAAGAAAGGATGGTAAAGAGAAAGGGACTTAAATTAGGCCTCCGGCACCACACTCATCAGGCGAAACACGGAATTGCTTCCATTTCACGCCTGTCTTTTGTGTGGTCGTGGTATTACACCGGGCGTGCCGGCCCTGCAGTGCTAAGATGTTAAAGCGGGCACTACTTAATTTCTTTTTGGAGGAGGTACTTTTCTGAGTGAGGTACTAAATAGTACATTTACGGTATAATTTAATTCGCTGTACATTCCACATTTTGAAACTCGCTACTTTTTATTTTCACGTGGACAAAGTCACGAGCAACAACCAGTAGCTATCTTTGCCATTCGATTTAACCCATACTTCTCATCTTAATCGCATTTCTACCACATGTGTGCGGTAACACAAGACGAATTGATAACCTCTTCCTTTTGGGAAATCCCAAAATACAAATGATAAATAGTTGATGTAGAATATTGTATAGTTTGTCTAAATAAGATAGATTAGTTTGATAAATGACGCATATGAAGTATTGAATTCAATTTGTATGAAGGTAAATGCCGTACTTAATAGACAGGTATCGTAGTGACGAAACAAACACGCAGCGAACAATTATGAACTGTTTATATTCGGTTTAAATAATAAAATATCGAACTCGACTAAAATTATTATTTTCTTATTAACTAATTTAGAGGACAATTCTAGTATTGATTACAGTGTAGAGAATTTAGAGATGACAGAAATAATAGCGAAATCAAATTCGATTACGTACACGGCTGTAGTAGTAATAAACATTTATTTACTCTCATTATTTGTAATGGTTCTGCAGGTCATTATTAATTTGACTAAACATTCTTTTTTTTAATTCGTTGGTTATTACTATAAAGCTATCGATTCCAACTTCCATAACAAACCATTTTATTATAACAACACTAGCTGTTCCCATGCGACTTCATCCGCATAAAATTATGAAAATTTTATTTTATTGTTTACATGTGTCAAATTATCAATTGCAAATGTCAAAATGACGTGATGACAAACCATGGCCACCTTGCTTCCGTGATGTTGGCAGCAACTTACCCCTAGGTGAAAATATATAGCTTAAAGCGTGACGTAAGTGTAGGGCTTGCCCGGTGCAATACGACCACACAGAAGACAGGCGCGTAATAGGACATTCGCGTTTCGTCCGATGACTGTGGTGCCGGAATCCCAATTTTAGTCCCTATTTCCTTTATCCCCTTTTCTTATAGGAAAAGGATAGGGCACGCATATGAAGGGGAAACATCCTCTTTATGTGCGTCTCCTCCGTCGTTTACGGGTGGGCAATGCATCCGCTATTGCCAATGTCTATGGGCAGTGTTCGCTTCGCCAGTTTGCCACCTAATGATAAAAAAAATCTAGGTGGTCGATAGAAAACTTTAAAACTGGGCTTTAGAATACATTCGGAATCTCTGTATTACAGGAACGTTTGCTATGGTAGTTGCAAAAGTTGGTTCTTTTTCTCAAATAGAAAACAAGTCCGTTGAATTATTTCCCTTATCTTATATACGTGTGACCTATGATACACTTTGTTAAAAGGTCGCTACGTTTATTGTCATTTGAAAACATATCTCGTTGGTGACATTTGTATTTGCAACATCCTCATTTCTTTGTTAATGTAATTTATATAAAATGAATAAAGTTTTTATAATATTGTTGGTTACTTCGCATTTAGTGGTTTGTTATGGAGAAGATGCTGATTTTGAAGGTGATTTTATTGTTTTTTAAACCTGTTAAGATATGCTCGAGATAGATGACTTTTAATCCGCGCTAATGGAGTTTGCGGACAGCTCGTATGTTAATAATTACTAGCTATTGCCCGCGACTTCGTTCGCATGGTATTAGAAAACATACGAACTACCATATATATATTAAATAACAAAAAGCTACGTATTCCTCGGAAACCGTACATTTCTCTGGGATGAATCTTATCCCATGTGTACTCCAGACTTTGCTTTATATCTGTGCCAAATTTCAATAAGATATGTTGAACCGTTGCAGAATGATCGAGTAAAAATACAAAATTACTGAATCCCACGGGAACCGTAACTTATCCCGGGATAAAAAGTAGCTTATGTGTTCTCCCAGACTATGCTTTAAACCTTTGCCAAATTTTATGGAGATCCGTTCAGCCGTTTGGGAAACAAACGCTAACAAACATCCATCGTAACTTTCGCATTTATAATATTAGTTAGTAAGGAAGACTAGTTTGAATTTTTGTTACAGGCGGCAGTTGTACTACTTACACGAATCAGCCCGGTATTTGCAAATATTTATCCGATTGTCAATACGCGATAAATCGACTCAAGCTAAAGAAAAAGATTAAGGTAATGTTTTAAATTACATTTTAAAACTAGCTTTTGCCCGCGACTTTGTGTGGAGTTTAAAATTATATTTACGTTCGCCACTTATTTCAACTTTAAGTAATAAATCTCTATCTATCTACTTGTAAATGGTTCCTAAACCTTAGTAGATAATATATAAATCGTTCGAGGTATATAATAATGATGTATCAAAGAATTGTAGATTTTAAATAGTTCTACAGAAAAGGCGGCGATGGCATCTATAACGATTTTCTTATAATAACCACTTTCTTTAAAGAAATTACAATCCTCATGTTATTTGGCGTCGTTTTAATTGTTATAATGTTATTTTCATCCAAATAAATGTGTTTGTTGACAGGATAATTTAATGTAGAATAAAATTGTCCTTTACAGTATTTAAATTGGACAAATAGTTTAGAAGATATCGCGAACACAAACAATAAGGGTAACCGAAAAATCAGCTTACAAACTACCAGCTTTAGAAAATTGCAATATCGCAGTAGTAGATTTCTGTTATTACATAGATTACTACTAAGATAGGTTACTATCTTTATAGGTTGAAAAAAGGGGCGAACGTAACTTTAAAACTAAAACTTCAGGATGAAGTCGTGGACAACAGTTAGTTTTTTTTTTTATAACATAAGGTGGCAAACGAGCAAGCGGCCACTAGAATCCGCCAAAATGACGAAGCGACCGCTGCCCATAGACATCCGCGATCGCAGATGCGTTACCTACCCTTATCCGACGGTGGAGGAGATGCACATAAAGAGGACAATGCTCCCTCCTATGCATCTCCTCCACCATCAAATACACTTCCCCTTTCCATCCTCTCCTTATAAGAAAAGGGTGGTAAAGAGAAAGGGACTTAAATTCGGCCTCCGGCACCACACTCATCAGACTGTACACGGAATTGCTTCCATTTCACGCCATGTCTTGTGTGTGGTCGTGGTATTATTGGGGGCGTGCCGAACCATTCGTGCTAAGATGTTAAAGCGGGCACTACCACTGTTACAGTATTACAGACACTTCAATTATGGTACTAACTTGATAGTTTTAACAATTCCAGGATTGTAAACGTGATATTGGTATGAAAAGAATTGTGTGCTGCGAACAAGCAACAGCAACAGTAACGCCAACAGAACCTCCAGAGCCAATAACCGATGAAGTGTTTGTAAGATTATACAAAGAGGGGCGATTGAAGAACGACGATATCGTAAGTAATGATTAAAAAAAACAATTGTTATTATATAGACAAACAACACTGGATTTGTTATTACAAAGCTGGAATACATTTACCAGTAGCTGGCATACTTGCGCTCTAATTTCAAATGTACAGTCACCTTCCTTTTTTATAATATAAGGTGGCAGACAAGCAAGCGACCACCTGAATCCAGCGAAATGGAAAGCGCTGCCCATAAACATCCGCAATTGTAGATGCGATGCCTACATTTAATTGACGGAGGAGGAGACACACATAAAGAGGACATTTCCCCTTCCTATGCATCTCCACCGTCAAATCCACTTTTCCTTCCCATCCTTTCCTCTCAAGAAAAGGGTGGAAAGGGAAAGCGACTAAAATTTGGCCACCGGCACCACACTCATCAGACGAAACGCGGAATTGTTTCCACTTCACGCCTGTCTTCTGTGTGGTCGTGGTATTACACCGGGCGAGCCGGCCCTGCAGTGCGAAGATGTTAAAGCGTGATCTACCACTGTGCCTCCTTCGCGGTGTTCCAGTTATAGAAAAATTTACCAATTATAACAAACCTAAACTGCGCTCCTTTTTTCTGCTACTTACTAATAATATGAATGCGATAGCTTGGTTAGATGGATGTTTGTTAGAGTTTGTAGCCGAAACGGCTGAATGGATCTCGATGAAATTTAGTATAGATGTAGAGGATAGTCTGGAAAAACACATAGGCTACTGACTTTTTTTTTTCGTTCCACGCAGATAGAGTCATGAGCGAAAGATGTTTTATAAATTTAATTTACAGGATTGTCGGTTTAATGGTACATTACCTATAAAATGTTGCCGCATTGTACACGACTTCACCACCCTAAGATTCAACGAGCCATCTCGATGTCCCGAATTAGAGAAGCCCTACGCAAGAAGTGACCTGACACCTCACCAATTGGTCATATACGATGGTGAGTACAATAATTCTTGATGCTACAAATTGCTGAAGCAATAGGCAACATGTACAAGACGCCCAGTTTTACAGCGGTAAACGTGCAAGTGGCCACCTGAATCTGCCGAAATGGCGATGACGCTGCCCATAGACATCCGCAATTGCATATGCGCTGCCTACACTTAATTGACAGAAGAGGAGCACATAAAGTGGATATATCCCCTCCCTGTGAGTCTCCTCCGCCGTCAAATCCAGTTTCCCCATCTTTTTCTGTTAAGGAAAGGGTGGAAAGGAAAAGGGACTAAAATTAAACCTCCGGTACCACACTCGGCACCACAACTTTACGTGGAATTGCTTTCACTTCACGCCTGTTTTCTGTGTGGTCGTGTTACTGGGGGCGAGCCGGCCCATTCATGCGAAGATGTTAAAGCGGGCTCTACCACTGTTAATATCAATTTCTATTCTTTCTTTAAGGATGCAGTCCATTGAGTCTGTCGAACTATCGCACAATAGTTGTGCGATTGTCGAGTGTTTCGCAGCCAACTGTTTAGTTGCACAACTAACGAGTAGTGTACCATATAAGATCATAGGAATCAAAGCGAAACTAAACAGTTTTGCGATAGTTTAGTCAAAGATGTGCGCTCTAATAGTATTTTTATTTCAGCATGCTACGCATACTCAAAACTGGGAAGTAAATGTATACTGAACGAAATGTACACAGACTTCTACCAACGTGATGATTGTCAGAGGTTTAAAAGCACACCGAAGATATCAGATGGCGACCCAGCTAAGTCAAAGGAATTCCCACACATGGTAAGTTATCGATTTCAAGTTTCTTTTACTTTATACTTACTGTTGCTCTCGATGTCGTCCGCGTGAAATTAAATAAATAAAAAAAATATAGCCTACTAGCTGTTCCCATGCGACTTCATCCGCATAGAATTATTAATATATCATTTTATTGTTTACGTGAGTCAAAAAATCAATTGCAAATGTCAAAATACCAATTACCTTACTATGGCAATTTTGCTTTCTTGATGTTGGCAGCAATTTATGGTCTCTTTCCCACATTACGGTTTTTATCGAAAATATTAACCTCCTATGTTTAATGGCGTGAAAATATATGGCCTAAAGCGTGACGAAGTGTAAGGCTTTTTGTTAAAAAAAGAATTATTCAAAAATATGGTGTAGTTGCTTACATCTTACGCAACAAAGAAGTGTGTGTTTACACTTTATTATAACAGTATAGATGTTACTCACAGACAAATTACCTTTCTAACGGTGAAGGAATTGTTTAAATATACCCAGTAGTTTTTGAGTTATTTCAATACATACAAAAATACAAATCTTTCCTCTTTATAATAGTAGTTTAGACTAGCTGTTGTTCGCGACTCCGTGTGATATAAAGAAATACAGTAGAACCTCGATAACTCAAACCTCGGTAACTTAAAAACCTCTATAACTTCAAAAAATAATATGTTCCCTTTCCATCAGAGCCCAAAACCTCTACAACATGGACTCTTGATAACTTAAAACCTCTATAACTTAAAATATTTTGTGTTTCCCTTGGACTTTAACTTATCGAGGTTCTACTGTAATAAAAAAAACATGTTATTCAGCTGTCGATGGATACGTTGTCACGTAGCCTTTTAACGGTGAAAGAATTTTTAAATTGGGCCAGTTTAAAAACCTAGCAAGCCTGTATAACTCCTAGCATGTGTACTCCTGTAGCTTATAAGAGTGTTATATTTCAGGCAGTTATTGGCGGGAAGAAGAAACTAGCCAAGAACATCGAATGGTTTGGCGGCGGCTCTTTGATAAGTGAATATTTCATTCTAACTGCAGCTCACGCTTTGGTTAGCCGGGACATGTAAGTACTAGCTGTTCTCGTGCGGCTTCATCCGCATGAAATTATGAAAATTTTATTTTATTGTTTACATGATGACAAAACATGGTAACCTTACTTCTTTGATGTTGGCAGCTTGTAGTTTATAGTTTCTTTTCCACATAAGGGTTTTTTCCAAATTATTCATCCCCTAAGTTTATAGCGTGAAAATATGTAGTCTAAAGCGTGACGTAAGTGTAGGGCTTTTTATTGAAGAAAGAATTATTCAGAAATATGCTGTGATTGCTGACATCTTAGGCAACAAAGAAGTGTGTTTACGCTTTATTATATTTGTATATTGGACATATATGTACAATCAGGACATCTAGCAGTGTTCCATCTTAAAAGCTACAATCGTTTAAACATTTTGAAACACGCTTGATCTCCATGAAATTTGGCACAGGTTTAGAGCATAGTCTGGGAGAACACATAGGGTACTTTTTATCCCTGGAACAGTTACGGTTACCGTGGGATTCATTAATACAGTTTTTTAATGTTTACTCGATTATTCTACAAGTTCAACATATCTTATTGAAATTTGTCACAGATATAAAACAAAGTCTGGAGTACACATGGGATAAGGTTCATCCCCGAGATGTCCGACTCCCGAGGGATACGTAGCTTTTTGTTATTTATATAGTCCGTATATTTTTTAATACCACACGGACAAAATCGCGGGCAACAGCTATTAAATAAATAACATTAGTTACACTAGCGGAGGCTCTCTGTATAATATGTTCTGTTCCAGTGGCCCTGTCAAATACGCCTTATTGGGGACTCTATATAAAAACGACACTCGCAGCGGCAAACTCTACTACATAGTGCGAAGGATACCATATCCTGAATATGACGCTAAGTCGAAGAGAAACGACATTGCCCTCATTAAGCTGCATACACGGTGAGTTGCACTAAACGTCATAAAGAAATTAAATTCATCATCATCACCAGCTCACTATATGTCCCCACCGAGGGGCTCGGAGCCTACCCTAATAAGGGGTGACTAGGCCATAGTCAACCTGCATTGCGGGTTGACTTCACACATATCTTTGAATTTCTTCTCCGATATGTGCAGCACGATGTTTTCCTTCACCGTAAGAACGTCGGGTAAATTATGTACATATGAAAATTCGAAAAATCGTAAATCACATTGGTACAGGATTCGAACCCAAGACCTGTATTACAAGTCAAGAGTACCAACCACTGAGCTACCGACGCTCATATCGATTAAATTCTAGTAAATTAGATGAAGTTTTAAAAATAGCTCTATTTATGATATTGGGAAGCAAAAGTTATTTTACACCACCTGACTAACCCAAACTGGCGAAGCGACTGCCCATAGACATCCGTAATAGCGTTGCCTACGCTTAATCGACGGAGGAGACACATAAAAAGGATTTTCCCCTTTCTATGCGTCTTCTGCACCGTCAAATCCACGTTACCTTCCCATCCTTATCTTATAAAAAAAGGGCGGGAAGGAAAAGGAACTTTTTAAGCTGTTTAAATAGAATTCTTTGTCTTTTCCACAGCGTTACGTTCTCAGATTTCATCCGACCTGCGTGCCTCACATTCCCCGGCTCGAAGGAAAGCGAAATGAACGCTACAGTTGTCGCTGGGTGGGGCAGAATGGGCTACAGGAATGATACAAGCGATATTTTACTAAAGGTAAGTTTCCCATAGATTCAAGTATAGAGGAGACATAAGTAGAAATTCAGTTTATTTTTTTTTCACATAATCAATGCTACCAGTAGATAAATTTTCAAAATGTCTACACTTATTTTTTTTATCATAAGGTGGCAAACGAGCAAGTGGCCTGAATCCGCCAAAATAGCGAAGCAACCGCTACCCCCAGACATTCGCAATAGCGTATGCATTGCCTACCCTTGATGGGGACGCACATAAAATATTACCCCTTCCTATGCGTCTCCTGCGCCGTCAAATCCATGTTCCCATCCTTTTCATCTAAGAAATAGGGTTGAAAGTTGGTGTATAACACACTACATAGTTATGTAGCAATCGAAACATATTCTTGAATAATTCTTTTAATTTTATCTTAAATCTAATAATCTTTTAAAAGTCAGCAAAAGCTGTAACTTCCAAGCAGAACAGTGTACAGGTTGCAATGAAGATGGCAAGATAGTCTTAAAACAAAATGAAAAGCAACATAAAAAATATTTTCAGGCCATCATACACCAGGAGTATGACCACAGCCAGTGTTCCACTAATTTGCACGGACATTTTTTTAAATGGGACAGTATAACTATGATATGCGCGAAATCTAAAGGGGTACGCCGCGCCCAGGACACATGTGAGGTAAGAATACATATAACTAGCTAAAGCTATCTAGATCTAAAGATCGCGATTCCGCCTGCGTGTAAAAAAGCAAAAGTAAGTAGCATATGTGTTCTTTCAGATTGTCCTCTACATTTGTAACAAATTTCATTAAGATCCGTTCAGCAGTTTAGGCTACAAACTCTTAAAAACATCTATCTAAACTTTCGCATTTATAATATTAGTATAACTAGTATGTTTTCAAAGCCTCCTCCTAACTTAGGATATGCTCCGAGTCTTCAAGTGGGGACGTTTAGCTGGTGATTGGCCTCCTATCATTGATAGAAGCGTTGCTGGAGTTTTTCCACCACTTCTCCCAGCGCTAACGCTTTCCGAAGCGGTAGTAATGTTAGATGTATTAATAATAATAGTAATCACGAAGAGCTTCGACCAACACCTCAAGAAGCTCTCGTTAGACAGTTGGATTAAGGGCCCAATTCAAAAGGCGGTTATTTTAGAAACCGCACGACTAGTGAGGAGGTTCCTGTCTCTGCAGCCCTGACCACTGGTTGCTTGAGTCATCGGATTCCGCAGCCGGTGGTGCTCTATTTTTTATATAGTATATTTTATTTTATTTTTATATCACATCTTGTAAAATGTATTATATAGAGAATAAGAAATAAAGATACATGGATTATAATAATAGTAATCAGATAGCAGCAAGCGATCAAGTCGAGGTTCTCGGGCGCCCTTGAATCGGAATGCTAAACGCGTATTTGATTGCCTAGGGAGTAGCGTGGACGATATGAATGACGGGTTCGTGCAAGCTATTCAGACGGTGGGTACTAAGTTCCTCAAGACCCACCGCAGAAGCTCGTCCAGAAAACTCTCGGACCACACTTGAGCTTATGAAGGAAAGGCGCGACATGACTCTAAACTCTCCAGAAGATGTGAAACAGTTTCGGCTGCTAAATAAACAGATCTCAAAGAGCATAAAGCGCGATATACGCCAATTTAACACAAACCGTGTTAAAACGGCTATTGAGCGGAACAAGGGCTCCAAAGTGTTTGCACAAGATCTGTCTATTGGGCAAAGCCAACTGTCGTAGCTGAAGACTGAGGAGGGTAGGGTTGTGTCCGCTAGACCTGAGATCTTAAGTGAGGTTGAGAAGTTCTATGGACAGCTCTACGCGACGCAGAAACCCGTCACTGATCTGGCTGAAGACCCAAGAGCCAGATTAACCCGACACTATACCGAAGATATCCCGGACGTCAGTCTCGACGAGATTAGTGCAGCCCTCGAACATCTTAAGAACAGCAAGGCGCCCGGAGATGACGGAATTACAGCAGAGCTACTACGGGCAGCTGGAGAACCGGCACTTAGGGTTCTTTAGAAGCTCTTCAATTCCGTCATCCTCGAGGGACGTACGCCACAGGTATGGAGCAGAAGTGTGGTGGTCCTGTTCTTCAAGAAGGGTGATAAATCCCTCCTGAAGAACTACAGGCACATCTCACTTCTGAGCCATGTCTATAAGTTGTTCTCGAGGGTCATCACGAATCGTCTCGCTCGCAGATTTGACGACTTCCAGCCTCCCGAACAAGCCGGGTTCCTCCGTAAAGGCTTCAGCACCGTAGACCACATACATACGCTGCGGCAGGTTATACAGAAGACCGAGGAGTATAACCTGCCACTGTGCTTAGCGTTCGTGGACTACGGGAAAGCCTTCGATTCGGTTGAGACCTGGGCGGTACTGCAGTCTCTCCAGAGGTGCCAAATCGACTACCGCTACATCCAAGCGCTAAGGTGCCTGTACGAAAACGCCACTATGTCAGTCCGAGTACAGGGTCAGGACACGAAACCAATCCAACTGCACCGCGGTGTAAGACAGGGTGACGTAATTTCCCCGAAACTCTTCACCGCGGCGTTGGAAGACGTTTTCAAAGTCCTCGACTGGAAAGGACTTGGCATCAATATCAACGGCGAGTACATCACGCACCTGCGCTTTGCCGATGACATTGTACTCATGTCTGAGACCATGGAGGGACTCGGTACAATGCTCGATGACCTCAATAGGGCCTCCGAACGAGTGGGTTTGAGGATGAACATAGATAAGACGAAGGTCATGTCGAATGTTCATGTTCCACTCACTCCCATAGCCATCGGAGGCCATACTCTCGAAGTTGTTGACGAAAATGTCTACCTGGGACAAACTGTCCTTGGTAGGTCCAACTTCGAAACGGAGATCAATCGCCGAATCCGACTCGGATGGGCAGCGTTCGGGAAGTTGCGAGATATCCTCTCGTCCCAAGACATACCGCAGTGTCTCAAGACAAAAGTCTTCGATCAGTGTGTGTTGCCAGTGATGACTTACGAAATAGAGACGTGGCCCTTCACTGCGTGCAACATCAGGCGGCTCAAGACCGGGCATCGTGGCAATCGATGGGGAAGGCCTACGTTTAGCAGTGGACGACCTAAGGCTGTAATGATGAAACGAGTATTGAGTGACAGCCCAAGCAAAGGTCCCCTCTCGGGGGCCCTTGTCCCTAGTCACTTCATGGAGCGTCCACTGAAGCGATCTAAGAGCTCGGTGGCCTCCCAATCCGGTAATAATAACGAAGTAACGGCTCGTGCCGAGGCTCCTGAGGGAGCCCTCGAGCGTACTCATAAACGAGGTTTAGGTTAAGCGCCATGGCCATTGATTTCAGGGTGACAGCGGTGGTCCTATGATGACGATGAGCAACCGGTATGTACCGTGCTCGTATTTTGTCGCCGGCATCGTCGCTTGGGGACCAAAGTGTGGAGAACAAATGTACGGATCTTACACGAACTCTTCGTATGTCAAGTATCAAGAATGGGTGGTCCAAAACGTGTGGCCTCTGCAACTTAATGCTAGAAATATTATTCTCTCTTAATCGAACGACAGACGACAGACTACACAAGCCGCTTGCTTAGAGCCAGCGCACACATGTCTATGTCATAACTTTATATTTTTATGGGATTATTTTTCCCCAATTTTGCGGTTGCACTTTGTGAATTAATCTTAGAATACGTATTTGTTAATTAATATAATTTTATAAGGCAACTATAATTACAATAAATTAAGTTTTACTATTTCCTTGTTTTATTTTCCTGTTGCGAGAAAAACGTAATTCGTTTAATTTTGTTTAGAAGATATCATTAACTCAAAAGACAATATACGTTTGAGAAGCAACAAATTTTATTGAAAGAATCTTTTAATAGGTGATCTAATATAAAGACAATCTCTCAATCTGACAGCTGCCAGAGTATAGAATAATAACAAACACTATAGTGTGTCTAAATAATTTAGATTAGTTTGACAATTCATTTCAAATTTAGTAGGGATGGGTTGCGTAAAATCAGTCATGAATCTTATCGATTTTCGATTTTTATTATTATAGAAGTTGGAATCGAAAGATTCATAGTTATAACCTATAAATTAAAAAAAAACACTGTTTTCTCAAATTAATAATGACCATAACAAATAATGAGAGTAAATAAATGTTTATTACTACTACAGTCGTACGTAATCGAATTGGATTTCGCTATTATTACTGTCATCGCTAAATTCTCTACACTATAATCAATACTAGAATTGTCCTCTAAATTAGTTAATAAGAAAATAATAATTTTAGTTGAGTTCGACAATTACGAATAACGATAGTTCATAATTGTTCGCTGCGTGTTTCGTCACTACGATACCTGTCTATTAAGTACGGCATTTACTTTCATACAAATTGAATTCGATACTTCATATACGTCATTTATCAAACTAATCTGTCTTATTTAGACAAACTATATAACACGTGATTTAACATAAAGGCAATCTCTCAATCTGACAGCTGTCAAAGAGTATAGAATAATAACAAACACTATAACTTTACTGTACAAGCAAAGAGCATATAATGCCTATTCTTTTTAATGTATGCTTTGACACTTAAACACATTTGTTGAAGAAAAAGCAATTTTTTTTTTATCTAGAAAAAGCGGGCAAACGAGTAGCGAATCGCTTGGTATCAAGTGATCCGACGCCCATGAACGTCCGCAACGCCAAGGGAACTGCAGATGCGCTGACGACTTTAACGAATACGCTCTTTTCTTGAAGGCCCCTAATTTGTAACTGTTTGGAAATACCGCTGAGGACAGAGTATACCACAACGCGGCTGCACAAGGTAAGGAGGTACGTGAAAACCTCGTCGTTGTGGAATGAAATTAAAGTATTCCTTCTCCCCACTGAACTCGGAGTTACCCTAAGTTGGTGACTAGGTCGGAGTCAACTGCAGCGCGACTTCACACATATCTTCATTTATATTTACACATATCTAAGTGTCGATTCATCCTATATCGTTGTATATGTACAGTAGCAAAAATCCGCGGTATTCCCTTCAGGTAATGTTGCCTTGTTCATTGCAATTCCTCCTTTTTAAAATAATTAGATAGTGAGCAAACGAAGGGATACTAACAAAAAGATTGCTGTGTTGCTCTAATCGACTTTTTTTTGTACACAAGAAGCTGCGTTGTAATTTTTCAGCGTGTTTCAAAATTTTTAAACGATTGTATCTTTCATGGTGGAACACCGACAGTTTTCTCGACTGTTCATATGGAATTTTAAAATCGAAAAATATTAAAATATAGCAGGATTTTCAAACAGGAAATCAAATACTTAACCTCTTAACCGACGATCCATTTTTTACTATATATGTTTAGATGGATGGATATTTGTTAGAGTTTGTAGCCTAAACTGTTAAACGGATTTTAATTAAATTTGGCAACATGTAGAGGACGGTCTGGAAGAACACATAGGCTACTTTTTTTTGTAGTACCATGCGGACGGTATCGCGGGCGAAGGTTAGTTTTACTATAAATGCGAATGTTTAGATGGATGTTTATTAGAGTTTGTAGCCTAAACTACTACGAATCTCGATGACATTTGGCAGAAATATTGAGGATAGTCTGGAAGAACATATAGGCTACTTACTTTTGTTTTTTTTTTTAATTCACGTGGACGGAAAATGTTAGTAGATTTTTGTTAAATTACTGATATTTCTTTTAATCTAACTAAGCTCTAGGTTTGTGCTAGGATATGGTTCAATAGTCGACTCCGAGCCCGCATTGCACGGTGCCGTCTTCCGAGGAGCGCCTTAGGGTGCAGCGTCCCAACTCGTTGGGACGCACCGAGGGCCCCTTCCCGGGGCGGTCAGTGGGGCGTCGCGGTGGCAAGCGAAAGCGATCCCGTGGCGCCCCTCACATTGGTCAGGAGCGAACGAAGGGGTTTAGTGAGGTATGCCCCCCACTAGGGGGGAGAGTCCCACGTAACTCACGTGACTGCCCCGAGGCATGGAGTATGCAGAAAGCATTCCCCTTCGAAAAAAAAAAATGGTTCAATAGTCGAATTTTGGGATACGAACCCTCGACCGCAAGATCGGTAGTCCATACCCCAAACTATAAGGCTATTGGCCATATATAATTTTTTGGTAAAAAAGCAATAATAAAACCACTTTCACAGTAAAATAAAATTTTATTTCTCCGTAATACAAACATAGAGCCTCGAATATAAATCTATAGATATATGATCGATAGATGGGACATAAAACAACTAAAAAGAGCGTCGGTGGCTCAGTTTAAGCAATTGACTTGTAATCTACAGGTCATGGGTTCGAATCCATGTACCAATGTGATTTTCATATGTACATAATTTACCCGACGTAACGGTGAAGGAAAACATCGTGATGCCTGCACATATCGGTGAAGAAATTCAAAGATATGTGTGAAGTCAACCCCTAAGTTTAGGGTAGCCTCCGAGCTACGGACGTATAGTAAGCTGGTGATGAATCTAATACACAGAAATTAAAAAATCGACTCTCAATTAGACGTCTTATATAACTCTCTCCATCTATAGATTACATATCTATGAATATCAACTATTTTGCCAACATAAAATTATATAAATATAAATTGAACTAAAAAATCTTAAATTAAATAACAAACGTTTATCTATGGTGTCATTTAAAATGGCGGCATTTAATCTGTGTTAGAGGGGTCTATCCTGAATTAATGTTTCGAGAACGTAATCGTATCGACATTTGTCGAACATTTAAATAGAGGCATAGTTGATTTCACTTGAAATATTTCTCACAACAACGCTATCTATTGATAGATCCTCAAAACATCAATATATTATTTAAATTAATTGCCAATAGATGTCGTTTGTGACACTTTTTTAATTTCAAAACAAAAGATGGTGATATTATTATTGTTGTAAAATGTTTTATTACAATACACGAGGTAACTTAACTTGACAACTGATATCCTTCAGAGAAAGTATCGGTAAGAAAAAATTACTGCCTTTTATGTCTTCAACATTTGTATGGTGACTAACCTATGTAAGGTCGCTGCATAATTTCAAGACAATAAACAAGAAATATAAACATTAAATTAGTAACAATTATTAGAAAATATCCACAAACATTTTAACAGTAAATTTCTTTTAACGTTTAAAAATACAATACACAATAGACTAAAAATATTTTTTTAATCTACACTGAAGAAAGTTTTATTTCTGCAAATAGGCTTTATTTTATTAAACTTGACAAAACTTATTGAATCTAAATAATTTTAACAGAAGTTTCCTATTACAATGGGATTATTATAACAAGGTCATTTTACGTCACATTTGACATTGACAGTTTTATCTTTATAGTGATGTGAACAATTTAAAAACATCGATTAAAGTGAAATAATCGATACAGATTTTAAACATCCGAGAATCGATTTTTTAGTTCGATTTTTTTGTAAACCTCAGTGTTTGAAAAGAAAAAGAATTCTGTAATGTAAGATTTTAACTTTTAATTTACTAATAAACGAAATGTTGCTCGCGACTTCGCTCGCGTTTAATTAAAAAATCATAAAATAATTGGGCTATGTTACTTTGGTAACGTAGTATTTTAATGGTGAAAGAATTTTTAAAATCAGCCCTGTCGTTTTTGAGTTATTTCAATGCTTATAAAAATACAAACTTTTCCCCTTTACAACATAAGTACAGAAAACTACATAAAGATAAATAAACTTTGTTTGTTTGATTGTATTGAATAGGCTCAAAAACTACTGGGACGATTTTAAAAAATCTTTCACCGTTAAAAAGGTAATTTATCTAAGAGTAGGCTATATTTTTTATTCCTTTATTATTATTTTTTAATTACACGCGAACGGAGTCGCTGGCAAAAGCTATTAGTTTATATAAATAAAAAAATATACAATTGTGGAGTTCTAATAAAAAATAAAATAAAATTATGCGTACTTTTACAATTTTACGTTGGTTTTCGATGTGTCAAATGTGACCAATTAAAATGACCCTACTGTATCCAACGGGTCAGATTAAGTTGCCTGTCTTTAATAAAAATATAACGGCAATGAAGTCCTACGTTAACTTTTGAGCCTAGAATCTACAATAATTTTACACTAATATAATAAATAAGTACAAAGATTTTAAGAGATATTTACATATATAAAATTCACATATAGATAATTGAAATATTTTAATTTTATTTCATTAATTAATTTTTATTATGTTTATTTTATTATAAAATCTCACTATTGGTTCTCGATCGAGATTGGCTTGTCCGCCATTTATAGCGTTTTTATAGAATTTAATTTTAATATATATAAAGATTGATTTTTTTAATTGTGACGAGCTGTCGCCCGCAAACTTCGTTAATGCAGATTTGGACCACCCGTTACGCCATTTTGACAGCGCTGAATTTAAAAAAAAATAGCTTATAATATGCCTATCCATGTTAGTTACCCTTCAGTGAAATTTCCGTCGAAAGGCCCAGCCGTTTGGACATTACCCGGAACAAACGGCTTGCGGACAGACAGACAAAAATTAAATGCGATTTTCGTTATCAGCAACCCAAATACATCTTCCCGAAATCTGGACCTTTTCTTTTGATGTTACAAATAGACACTCCAATTTTATTATATTTTGATATGTTTAACGGATTCATGAAAAAATATAAATGTTAAAATATTCCTTAATTTCGATTGAACATATGTGACAATAGATTTTACAAAGCGGTCATTTTAATTCCCTTTTTTAAATAACTAAGTGAAAATTATTAGAGAAACTGAAATATTGTAAAATGTTGCTTAAACGTGTCTAAATCGACTCTGAACTGTTGAGCTATCGCTCAACGACTTAAGTAGCAGTTTTCAATATTACGATGAGTTGTGCCGAAGTGTTCTGTGATTCACAAAACAATCCATCTATGAATATAAATTGAGCCGATCAGTGAGCTGGTGAATTGAACTGCAAATATATAAAGACGGCATAGACACTTCACTTGAAACATTTTTCACAACTAACGCCATCTATTGATAGATCCTCAAAACATAATTATATTAACTGCCAATAGATGTCGTTAAATAATAACAACACTTAATTAAAATAAACATTGAAAACACACAACTTTAAATAATAACATTGAGGGCCTGTCCCACCACTGGCTGATAGAGGCTCAGATAGCTTACAAATCACTGTCAGATAAGGTATAATATTCGATATAGATAACAATATTCGATATTTCCATCACATTTTAAACGTTGGATTGTTATCAGACTATTAACAATTTGGTGAAAGAGGCCCTTAGGGTTGTAGCCCTATTTCTTAAAATGTATTAAACATTTATAATTCCTTCTACACATCCATTTTCCCGTTTAATTATATTTTCCTTTCTTTATCTGCGTCAATTTCGCTTACGTCAATTTCTGTTTTTAGATCACAATCATCCTGTATATCTTCAACATCGTCTAAACTCGCTTGTCCAACTTTATAATCGATTTCACTTTTCGATTGATTCGATTCCGATAGCTTGGGACTTTTAATTCTATCTCCGTTCTCTTCTAGACTTTCATCGATTATTTCCAATCGGGATTTCGAAAAGAATTTGTGTAACGATTCGATTTTATCCATCGCTCGATCATTTCTCTCCGAGCTAGACGATAGCGTGGTATCTTCTGTCATACAAAAAGAATCTATTCTTCTCGATATTTCCGATATCGATTCTGATATTTCTGTAGTAGATGTTGATTTATCTACCTTTATCACTTTAGGTTTGATTATCATACTAGGAGGTAAATCTGGTATATTTCTTAAGTCTATAAGACTTATAGATCTCGTGCTTAATTCATATTCTCTGCTGTATTCTTCTGTAGATGGTCCTGAACTATCTTCTTCAAATGGATATCGTTGTATTTTACGTTCTATTTCACGTATCACATCCTCTGCTAGTTGCTTAATATGTGTTAGAGGATCTTCTTCTATCTTTTCTAATGCTCTAGAAGATGGTTCATCTTCTTCAATTATATCGGATAGTTCAACACTGTATGGGAGACATTGTATGTATTGGAGTGTTGGAGGTTTTGTATACGCGGTGAAGTTTTCAAAATCTTCCTGATCACTCATTGTATCGTCTTCAAATATCATTTTTAATTCGCATATTCTTATAATTGCTTCTTCGAATATATTTTCTAAATCTTCTTTAATAAAACTTAAATCGATAACAGTCTCTGATATTCTTCTTGTTTTATCAGTTTTTAATTCTGTTAATTCTATAACTGTGTCTTGTGTGTGTGTTAATGTTGAATCAGATTTAGTCTTGCTGACGTCACTAAAGGTTTCCAATCTACTTATCGTCATATCTGATTTAGATTTCTCTGACAACGAAGGTGTTATAGACATCGATTTACTGGAATCTTTAAATTTCTCTTTACTGCCGTAATTTTCCATATATTTAAGTAGCATTTCCACTAAAGTTTCATTTTCATCCACCGGAGTTTCATCGATAAAGGATAGATTTTTAACGTTCACATTAGATTCAGATAAACTAACATTTCTACCGTTTATTTCTATCAAAGGTGTTTCCCATTTTCTTTCATCTGGACCAAAAAGAAACTCCATTAGAGTAATTTTTTTATCGTCTTTACCTTCATTTTCATTTTCTATACAACCAGTTGTCGCTAAAAACTCCATTAGAGTTTCCATTTTCTGTTCCAATTCGGTATTAACTCTTGTTGGTACACATTTCTCTTCATCAGGACTTACTTCAGCTTTGAAACAACTACCACTACTTCCTTTTCTACCTTCTTTTTGACTTTTCACTATAGTAAAGAAGAAATCAATTAGATTAGCAATCCTATCAGTCCCTTCTTCCTCATCAGAGGTAGTCAGATCCGATTCTTCTTTAACTAATGGACATCTTTTGGGGGTTTCGTCGAGTTTCTTCGCGAAGACTGTCTCTTGGACCACTTGGAGTAGATCCCTGGCCAGTCTAACTGGGGACTTGGAGTCTATAGAGTCGTATGTGGTGGAGGGGGCCGAGCGACGCCGGTCGCGGTCCATCCTGATGAAGTCCCAGAGCGAGCCAAGATCTGATGAGAGCGAGGCTCGATGGTTCGCCAGGCTGGTGCCGAGACGACGTATTACCTGGAAATTATTATTTTATTATATAGAAAATTTTACAAAACCTAATTTTAAAGCAATTTAGAATTTCTACATTAGATGCTTTATTTTGTAAAGTTTATGTCTAGAAAAATTGTATTAAAAATAGTTTTAAAATAGATTTTTTTTTATTTCATCTATTTAATCATCATCACCAGCTCACTATACGTCCCCACCGAGGGGCTCGGAGCCTACCCTAATACGGGGTGACTAGGCCATAGTCAACCACGCTGGCCAAGTGCGGGTTGGTTGACTTCACACATATCTTTGAATTTCTTCGCCGATATGTGCAGGCATCACGATGTTTTCCTTCACCGTAAGAACGTCGGGTAAATTATGTACATATGAAAATTCGAAAAATCGAAAATCACATTGGTACACGGCGGCGGGATTCGAACCCAAGACCTGTGGATTACAAGTCAAGTGTTCAAACCACTGAGCCACCGACGCTCGCTCATCTATTTAATAGGTTAGAGGTAAATAAATAGTAAGCAGTTTTTGTTTTACGGACATTTTTTTTTTCAGTTTTCCTTCATAAAATCCTACCTATTTTTAGTAATATATTAGCTACTTAGCAATTTAAAAGTAAGAAGTCTATGTGACAATCTACATATATGACAATCATCGAGATCCAACAGTTTAGGTTAACTCTAACATCCATCCATACAAATTCTAATATTAGTAAGATTAACAATATCCTATTATAATACCTGCCACACTCAGGATCTCCACGCACGTAGTTTCCGTAAAGAGAGTCTCTTGAAGCGCGCCATCTGAGCTGCGAGCGCCTCCGCCCCCGGCGACCCCCCCACACCCCCCGCACCCGCCTCGCCCTCAGACTCTACCTGACATTTCATTTTTATTTTATTTACGAGCGCCGACAAACTTCGTTAGCGTAGAATTAAAAAAAATGGTCGTCTATAACATTCCCGTGCATCTACTTTTTGCCAGCTACCTTCCAAAGTCCCGTTCAAATCTACCCGTTCCAGTAATAGCTGCCCGGTCGCCATTTTGACAGCGCGGAATTAAAAAGTAGCCTATAATATGCCCGTCTATTTCAGTTTTCTAATGGTGAAAGAATTTTTGAGTTGACCCAGTAGTTTTAGAGTCATTTCAATACATACAAAAATACGAAAATAACTCTTTCCTCTTTATAATACTAGTATAGATAAATAAATAACATCAGTAAACCAAAAAAACTAACCTCTCTTGTTACTGATCTCCGGCCAATAAAGGAGCGAATGTCTTTATCAGAGTGACCCTTTGCTCGACCGATGCCTTTACCCAAAGGAGATGTTGACACCCTTCTGTAAAAAAAAAAAATACTAGCGATCGCCCGCGAATTCCTCCACACAATATTAAGATAAAAGGTAGCCTATAATATGCGGGACTATGTCAGCTACCCTTCAGTGAAAGTCCGGTCGAAATAGGCTCAGCGGCCGGAAATTACTCGGAACAAACGAGGCTTGCGGGCAGACGGAAAACATTAATTAAATGCGATTTTCGTTATCAGCTACGCAAATATATCATCTTCCCGAAATCTGGATTTTTTCTTATGATTTTACAAACAGACACTCCAATTTTATTATATGTATAAATATACATGACACAAAGACAAAGTTTATTAAACTATAATAATAATAGTCTTTATTTCAACAATGTTACAAAATTAAAAAAAAAACATTTATTTAACTATAGTTGGTCTAAATAAGGTTGATTAGTTTTTTTAAACACGCACACAAAATATTGAATAAAACTTGTATGGAGGTAATGTATCTAATAGACTACTAAGAAAAGATATTAGTTTTGTCTATAGTAATACTAATTATTGTAATAATATATATTAGTATAGACTGATATTATAAAGAGATAAGATTTGTATTTTATGTGAAGTAACTCAAAAACTACTGGGACAATTTTAAAAATTCTTCCACCATTAAATTGTCCCAGTAGTCTTTGAGTTACTTCAACACATAAAATACAAATCTTTCCTCTTCATACTATTAGTATAGACAAAACAGTTATATATCACTCACCTACAATGTGTAGGGTCACTGTACGCGGTGGTGACGGGAGTCTTGCCTTCATTCATTGTGTTATCACTCGATATGAACCCCAGAGGGAATGTTGTACCTATAGACATAATAAAAAAAATTAATTACCTAAAAATAACTAAAAGATATCCAAGAAGTATGAAAGTAGTCCCAGTGGTGGTGAATTTAAAGACTGAAAGGTAGATGGTATGTCATGAGGAGGGATGAATGTAATAAGAAGTTGGTTATGAGTACACCGGTATCGGATAGAAAGAGATGGATTATGTAAAAAATAACATCAAGAAGGGAGTGACAAAGATGACGGATGATAGAGTTGTGGAGAATAAAAACCTGTTACGCCTACAGGAGTAGGATAAAAAAGAAGATGAATCATTAAATAGTTATTTTCTTTTGTATCATAAGGTGGCAAACGAGGGAGTGGCCACCTGACGCTGCCAAAATGAGAATACGACCGCTGTCCATAGACATCTACAATAGCAGATGCGCTGCATACTCTTGATGGATAAGCACATAAAGAGGATATTTCCCCTTCCTATGCGTCTTCTCCACCGTTTAATCCACTTTCTCTTCCCATGTAAGAGAAAGGAAAGGAAAAGGGACTGAGTTAGGGCTCCGGCACACTCATCAGACGAAACGCGGAATTGCTTCTACTTCACGTCTGTCTGTGTGGTCGTGGTATTTACCAGCGATAGCTCCCCTGGTGATGCTGAGGCCGCGCTGTATCCGGGCGATGGCGGCGCGATGTCGCGGCAGCGGCGCGCTGGTGCCCTTCTCCTGCAGCACAAATCTGCCCAAAGTCTTCCAACACGCCTGCAACACATTTATTGACAATTTTTTTATACAGAACAGCTGGTAAATTTATACAGTGGTGTTGTTCTTTTGACTGCTCACCTGTGCAGCGTAGACCACTTCATCATCAGCTAGGGGCCGCTGCTGAGGACCAGCACCAGCTCGGCCGCCCCACTCCAACTCCTCAACCAGCACGAACCTGGAGTACCAGACAATTTTACTACTATAACTTTGAACTGTCGTAGTTTTTACAAATATTATGTTAGTAAAATACGGGTTTCGAAATATCGGTGATGTCGAAGGACCAATTTTAGTCCCTTTTCCTTCCCACCCTTTTTCTTATACCTTTTTACTTATGTGAATAGGGTGGGAAGGGAACGTGGATTTGACGGTGAAAGAAACGCATAGGAAAAGGAAATATCCTCTTTATGTCCGTCTCCTCCGTCGATTAAGGGTATGTCTGAAAAGTCGCTTCGTCATTTTGGCGGATTCAGGTGGCCGCTTTCTCGTTTGCCACCTTCAATATAAAAAAATCAAAGAGATTTGTTAAGACACGCAGCTGATTATGTCCTAGTCAGTCTTAGGGTAGTCACCTTTCAGTGGAGTCGTAATGAGCTGGTGATGGTATCAGATACACAAGTATTGTAAGAATTTACAATTGTTAGGGCCTGTCTCACCAAATTGTAAATTGTCTAATAACAATCCAACGTGTAATATATTACGGAAATATCGCATTTTGTTATCTTATCTGACAGTGACATTTTTAAGCTATCTGAGACTCTATCAGGCAGTGATGGGACAGGCCCTAAATAACGTTATTTCACATCTTTTATTTACCTTTTAGGATCATCGTGACATCTTGCTTTAGTTAATGCTTGGTATACCACATAAGAAGCAGTTGCACTGAGAGGTACCTGAAAAAAATAAATTGAAACAATAAATACATGTAGGTTAGAAACAAATTTACCCCATTATAGTTTATCTAAATAATTTAGATTAGTTTGACAATTCATTTCAAATTTAGTAGGGATGGGTTGTGTAATCAGTCATGAATCTTATCGATTTTAGATTTTTATTCTTATAGAAGTTGGAATCGATAGATATATAGTAATCGATGGATACTTAAAAAAAAACAAAACACTGTTTTCTCTAATTAATAATGACCTGCATAATCATAACAAATAATGAGAGTAGATAAATGTTTATTACTACTAACTACAGCCGTACGTAATCGAATTGGATTTCGCTATTATTTCTCGTATTGAAGATAGTAATGATTTTAGTTAAGTTCGATAATTTTATTTAAACCGAATATCGATAGTTCATAATTGTTCGCTGCGTGTTTCGTCACTACGATACCTGTCTATTAAGTACGGCATTTGCCTTCATTGAAAATTTAATTCGATACTTCATATGCGTCATTTATCACACTAATCTATCTTATTTAGACAAACTATAGACCCCAATTTTAATTCTTATTTTACTAATATAATATTTGTTAGAGTTACCCTAAACTGAAGGGATCTCGATGATTGTCATACGTGTAGATAGTCTGGAACACGTAGAGTACTTACTAAGTTTTTATTTATACGCGGAAGGAGTTGCGGGCAAAGGCTAGTCTATTATTAATTACAGTGAACTTCTGGTTCATCATTTTCCGAAGAACCCTCACAGAGACAAAAATTCTTTCATATCGGATTAGTTACTTTTTGAATTTCATACAAAGAGATTCAAAAAATATATAGAGGTGGCACAGTTGACACTTCATTTGAAACACTTTTTACGTGCTAACGCCATCTATTGATAGATCCTTAAAACATATCAATGTAATTGTTTATTTAAGTTTATTTTATAATTGCTTCGTGACTTCGTTCCGTAAAATAAAAAACAATGAAAAACATATCCAATATTACTGATAACGTAGCTTTTTAATGGTGAAATATTTTTAAAATCGGCCCAGTAGTGTTTCGAGTTTATTCATTTCATACAAAAATACAGATTTTCCCAATTTGTAATATAGTACATTTCAAAGAAGTTACCGGTTAAAAATCAGTGCCTCGTCTATACATCATTTGAATGTCTTTGATGGTATTTGTAGGGGTTTTGTACTAAAGTTTGAATATTGGCTTGTTTACCTTAAGTATTGCGTACGGTATCTCATGGGACACATTATGTACGCAGACGAGGAAGCTGTCAGGTCGGCGAGGCTCCTCCTCCTGCGCGCTGGACTCCTCATCCGAAGGCAAGGAGCGTTCTTGAGGCCTGTCAGTAGACGCTGACCTACTGTAGGAATAGTTACTATATTTTTATCAAATATTGGTAGATTTTTTATTAATCCTACTAATGTTATAAATGCGAAAGTTTAGATGGATGTTTGTTAGAGTTTGTAGCCTAAACTGCTGAAGGAATCTCGATGAAATTTGTTATAGATGTATTCCAAATATTTTATAATTTCATATATACATTTACAAGACATTCTAACGTTGAAGGAAAACGCGATCTCTGGACATTCGGTGAAGCAATTCAAAGATATGTGTGATGGCCTAGTCATTTAGGATAGTGTCAGAGCCTTTTAGTGGTGACGTAAAGTAATTTAATGATGATGGTGATGATTACCCGACGTTCTTACGGTGAAGGAAAACATCGTGATCCATATATCTGTAAGGAAATTCTAATATGTGTAGTTACCACTGTAACTGCACTCAGTTGACTATGTCCTAGTCACCCTTAGGCTTAGGCACCAAGCTCAGTGGGGACGTGTAGCTGGTGATGATGAAACCAATAGTCATAAATTACTCAGGACAGACTTTAAGGTCAAGTTTGAGATTAGTTGAAAAATGAAGAGGTAAAAGGTTATGGTATGATGTTATGAGAATGGATGAACGTAACAAGAAGGACGTTAGTTATGAGTACACCGGTTGAGGTAGTTAGAAAGAGATGGATTGTATGAATGGAGATGACTGAGGTGATTATAGTGTTATTTGAAAAACCCGGGCTGATTTTACGGTAGTAGAATAAGCTAAGGGGACTACAAGAGCTCCAAGGTTAGTGGTGACGTAGTGAGCTGGTGTTGAAAGTTACCGTATGCTAGTCAGCCAGGCTCTACTGCTGGGGTCGTCGCCCACCCTCTTGAGCAGCAGGCGGGCCGCTGGGCGCGCGGTGGCGGCGCGCAGCACGCGCTCGTGCGGGGCCAGCACGCGCTGAGTGGGCGCGCGCGAAGCCACCTCCTCCACCAGCACGTAGCTGGCGCGCGCTGAGCGGCACACGCCGCCTTTTGTTAGACATTGTGCTATCGCCTGAAAAAACATTTTTTTATACTGTTGGCGTCGTTTCCTGTCCTAATAGATGACGCTGTGGCGAGATCGTCTAATATTGAAGCACGATATTATTAACGTCTCGCCACAGGCAAGGTCTCCCGCTGCTCGCGGGCTCTTTGGTGTTTTGGTGATTGTTTTTTGCGTTTTCATTGTGGTTGTTGTTTTGTAGTTTTCGGTTGTTATTTCATTTCGTTGGTCGAGTCGTCCAAATATCGGACACGGTTACGTAGGAAACAAAACATATACTATAAGTCTGTACAAAAAAATCGGCTACCTTTTTATTATTATATCTTCGTTTGCACTCACTGCGATCTAGTTAGTTATTTGCAAGAGGCGGAGTTTGTCTCGTTGCATTCATTAATTTGCCCTTATCCCTACGTTCTTCCATATATTCCTATCAGCCGTCATATCTCTACTCCCTTCAGCATATTCTCTCACACAATCCATCCATTCTTCCAAGTGAAGTCTATTCCTGTGGAACTGCGGAATTCGCGTGTACTTACCTCATTAGCTGTGGTATCTTGCGTCACTTTCAATATGGAGTAAGGTTCGTGCCTGGCGACGGCGTACACCACCAAGAAGTGTATCCTGCAGCGCTGCGCGGCAGAGCCCGGCTCAGAATCCCGCCAGCCCCCGCCCGCTGACTCCTCGCTGCAGCGCGAGAAGATCAGCAGAGACGCCATGTTTAGTGGCTGGTTGCTTGGGGATCTGGTAAACATAGTAGAGTAAGGGTGGAGAAATACCCTTCGATGGTCAAGAAGACAGATCGTGACCCTCGGGTATGACATAACGATGCAGGGTGAGAGAGAAAGAGAGAAGGTAATGTTTTAGACTTGATTTATAAGCTATTTTTTTAATAATACAAGTTGATCAACGAGAAAGTGGCCACAATTCATCAAAATAACGAGACAAACTTAAAGATAATATTTTCACTACACTATCGAATCCACTTTCTCTTTCAATCCTTCTCATCTATATTTCTATAATATCTATACTATTATAATAAAGCGTAAACACACACTTCTTTGTTGCCTAAGATGTCAGCAATCACAGCATATTTTTGAATAGTTCTTTTTTTAATAAAAAGCCCTACACTTACGTCACGCTTTAGGCTATATATTTTCACGACATTAAATTTTCACGTCATTATATTTTAGATAAAAATCCTAATGTGGGAAAGAGACTATGAGTTGCTGCCGACATCAACGAAGCAAGGTTGTCATCATGTCATTTTGACATTTGTAATTTGAGAAATCTAAACAATAAAATAAAATTTTCATAATTTCATGCGGATGAAGCCGCACTGGAACAGCTAGTGTATAATAAAGTTGGAAAGGGGAACAAGACTAAAGTCTTCTGTGTGGTCGTGGTATTATACAGAACTAGCCGAGAAAGTACAACAGAACGTCAATGGGTCAGAGGTTAAGGACTTGACTTGTAGGTTGTTTGGCACTACCTTCTTTAACTTACCGTAACCTGACGTGTCTGTACCCTGGGCGGAGGCAGTGCAGGGGAATGACTCGTTGAGACAACATGTAGTTGGTATCCGCGTCGTAGATCTCAAACCTAACAAAAGCCAGCTCGGGGAAATTTATCTGAAAATGAAGAAGATCAACTTGTAATTTATTTCATTATAATCCAATGTAAATTAAGAAAATAATAAATTAGGTAGCGATAGAAAAGTCTAGAAGCAAACTGACAGATGTTACGCAGCATAATTTACAAGGTTTCGCATTTTTAACGAACTCGTTGCTGGTTGGTTTACCCTAACACTAACTGATTGTATAAAAGCTCGCAATGTAACATAATATATTACACCGCGAAACGCCTGTCAGTGTGTACATACAAGGCATGTTATAAAAGAAATAACAATGAAAACTAAGTCTAGGTACACTGGTAGAGGTAGACCTAAGATGAGATTGTGAGAGAGACTTTTTTTTTTATAACATAAGGTGGCAAACGAGCAAGCGGCCACTTGAAGCGACCGCTGCCCATAGACATCCGCAATTGCAGATGCGTTGCCTACCCTTATACGACGGAGGAGTAGACGCACATAAAGAGGATATTTCCCCTTCCTATGCATCTCCTCCACCGTCAAATCCACTTCCCCTTCCCATACTCTCCTTATAAGAAAAGGGCGATAAAGAGAAAGGGACTTAAATGAGGCCTCCGGCACCACACTCATCAGACGAAACACGGAATTGCATCCATTTGACGCCTGGTTTCTGTGTGGTCGTGGTATTACTGGGGGCGAGCCCTGCAGTGCTAAGATGTTAAAGCGGGCACTACCACTGTTATACTTGACTTGATCAAGAAGGGAGTGATGATTCAGAGGATGGAAACACACAGTTAAAGATAGATGAAGTTATGAATAAAATTTCTAATTTCTTCTATAGTTCTGCAGTCGTTTGTGGGCCTTGTCTTGGTCTAGTAATTTTTCCATTACGGCTTATCTCTGGTCAATTTCGTCCAGTTTACTAGCCAATCTATCTATCTATACTATTATAATAAAGCGTAAACACACACTTCTTTGTTGCCTAAGATGTCAGCAATTACAGCATATTTCTGAATAATTCTTTCTTTAATAAAAAGCCCTAAACTTACGTCACGCTTTAGGCTATATATTTTATATAAAATTAAACTTAGGGGGTAAATATTTTGGATAAAAACCCTAATGTGGGAAAGAGACCATAAGTTGCTGCCAACATCAAGGAAACTAGATTGCTAAGGTTGTAAAGTCATTTTGATATTTGCTATTGATAATTTGACAAACGTAAACAATAAAATAATGTTTTCATATCATGCGGAGGAAGCACGGAAACGTCTACCAATAACCAACCTTAAAATTAAACGTCTCATTCCATACTGGATTAAGAGCGTTTCTTCTTGCAACTTTAGTTCTAATCTTCTTGCAGTCAGCTGGTACACCTAACACTTCGACTTCAACGAACGCGTTATAGAAGGAATAAACATTCTCAGCCACATATTGTCCTGAAATCACTGCTAGAGTGAGATGGGCTGCGTGGATGCCATCGAATTCTTTATCCATTGGATTGAACCTAGAAAGAGATGAAGAATATTTGCTACTTCCTTTACAGAATTCAATTAATTTGCATACAAATGTGTAGTCGATTCTAATTGTCATCATCCACTTGCCCTTATCCCTTCTGGAGGGTCGGCACAGTATGTGCTGCTCTTCCATACATCTCTATCAGCCGTCATATCTGAATCCACTCCTTTCTTAAGCATATCTTCCTTCACACAATCCATCCATACTTTCTTCGGTCTTCCTCTTCCTTTGTAGCCATCCACATTCAATCTCAACACTTTCTGGTTTATGTCCCCATCATTTCGTCGCATAACATGTCCATACCACGCTAACCTTTTGCTTCTCAATTTCTCCACCACTGGCGCTACTTTCAAACTTCCTCTAATGTACACATTCTTAATCGATTATTCTTAGTCGATTCTAATTGTATTTACTGTATTGTGATGTTCTTTTCTTATTGGATTTCTGTGTAATATCTTTTTTATTGACAGTTTTTATTTTATTAATCTTACCAATATTATAAATGCAGTTTAGATGGATGGGCCTGTGACTTCGTTCGCGTGAATTAAAAAAAGTAGCCTATGTGTTCCAGACTATCCTCTACATCTATCACAAATCCGAGATCAGTTCAGTTCAAACATATATCTAAACTTTCACATTTACAACATTAGTATGCTAAAGCTAGTGCTTTTACCCCCGAAATCGTCCGCGTGGAATAAATAACAAAAATGAGTATTTTTTAGACTATCCTCTATATCTGTATGAAATTTCATCGATATACGTTCAGCCGTTTAGGCTACAAACTAAAAAACATAAATCTAAACTTTCGCATTTATAATATAAGTAAGAAGTAAGATTAGGGTCCCAGGCAATCTCCTCTATTGTGTGGTAGTGTCCAGGGTTCTGATGAGTTCTAGGGAAACCATGGAACCCCCTATTGCACTCTCCTCTCTACAGGTGTAGGGGTAGTGTAGGGGTTTTAGTGTACAAACCTCACATAAGGAATCTTCTAGAAGGAAGGTTATCTTTTTGAAGATTTTCGCAGTAATATCTACCTTCTATAAGCGATGTGTCCCGTGTCCCACATGACGTGTGGTTTCCGCACATATCCGGTGCAGCCATCGCCTTCGAACATGGCCGCGTTCACCGCCATCGCCGCGTCCTCCGTCTGGTAGTTCAGTGCAACTAACTGAACTCCACACGACCAGAAAGTCACTGGATCGAAGTTTGATGAATCTATTCTTAGGCTGGAAGGAAATGGAAGGCTTATTATTGTGATGATAATCCTTTTCTTTCCATGATCATCTAAGTAAGGGATGACTTAGTAGTTTTTGAGTTATTTCAATTCATACAAAAATACAAATATTTTTATAATATCGGTATACCGATAGTCTTCGTCTATAGACGAACTGTTGCCCGCGACTTCGTCCACGCAATATTAAGATAAAAAGAAGCCTATAATATGCCCGTTTATGTCAGTTACCCTCCAGTGAAAGTCCGGTGGGAATCACCTCAGCCATTTCGGAGATTACACGGAACAAACGCGGCTTGCGGATAGACAGACAGACAAAAAATATGCGATTTTCGTTATCAGCAACGCAAATACATCATCTTCCCGAAATTTGGATTTTTTTTTGGATTTGGATAGAGAGTTCTCACCCGGCGGGATAAGTTCTGACGAGTTGTGTTTCAGTATGAGCTATGAGAGCTAGAGGATGTTTCCTGCAAATCTTCCTGCCCATAGCCTCGTTGACAGAGGAGCATCGGTAGCAGGGATGGTGCACTGCTGGAGTACTGAGACACCGCGCTCGGGACTGACACTGGGCTACTTGCTGGATATAGCATAAACACATTAAAATCAATGTTTTTCTGTAGATAAATCATGTTTATGTTTTGTTGGCAAACCTATAGAAATATATACTAATAAAGCGTAAACACACACTGCTTTGTTACCTAAGATGTCAGCAATTACAGCATCTTTTTGAATAATTCTTATTTACCTAGACTTACGTCACCCTTTAGACTGTATATTTTCACGCCATTAAACTTAGGGGTTTAATATTTTGGATAAAAACCCTAATGTGGGAAAGAGACCATACGGTACGAGCTGCCATCATCAAGATGCAAGGTTGCCATAGTAAGGTGATTATTATTTTGACATTTGCAAAAGAGAATATGACAAATGTAAACAATGAAATAAAGTTTTTTATAATTCCATTCTGATGAAGCCGCACGGGAACAGCTAGTAAATATATAAAAAAGCATAAACGCGGTAAAAAATTTTCACTGGTGTTTCTGAAATGTATATCAGTTGTCTTGTTAAGCCACCTCTTGTATTGACATAAAACATTTTAAAACAATTACAATAAGCACCATCTTTTGTTATTAAATAAACTAAACATGCTAATTTTATTTAACGACATCTATTGGCAATTAATTAAAATACAAAGATATTGAAAAGTGGTTTGAGGATCTATCAACAGATGGCGATAGTACCAATATTTCAAGTAAAGTGTCAACTATGCTTTCTCTATATGTTTAAATCCAATTCGCTGAGGAAGAGCCATAAACAAGTAATAGATGTATTTAAATCGCTTTAGTATTAGTAACCTTTATAAGTGAGTAGTTTATACTGACCGTGGCGGTACTGTCACTACTTTCAGATGACTCGAAGCTGCTAGCGGGGGCGCTGGCATCGTGTCTGCCCGCACCCCCTGCACCCCCTGCACCTCCCACACCCCCCGCACCCCCCGCGTGCTTCACTGAACTACGCGGCGACAACGGGTTTAGGCCGCGAAACTTTATCGCCTATAACAACACAAACTTATATAAACTTTGATATTCAACCGCGCCAATGTTTACTAACACCCTCTTAAATAACACTGACTACATTCCATGCTTGTCATCATCGCCAGCTCACAGTCTTCACTGAGGGGGTCGGAGTCAACCCTAAGGGTGACTAGGCCTTGCTACACACAAGTCACTACACTTCAATTATTTTTCTGTTAAAAACATTAGTAGATTTTTATTAATTTACTAACATTTCCTTTAATCATTCCAACTAAGCTGTAGGCTGGTGCTAGGATATGGTTTACAGAAGTCGAATGGCAGGATTCGAACCCTCAACCGCAAGATCGGTAGTCCGTACCCCAAACCATTAGGCTATTGCGCTTAAAATGTGACGTCATGTCCCCTTCGGCAAAGCATGAGTAATCTATTGTAATCTTACTAATTATAAATGCAAAAGATTAGATGGATGTTTGTTAGTTTGTAGCCTAAACTTTTGTGCAGATATGTATTAAATTTGACAAAGACACTCTGGAAGAACACATAGACTACTTACTTTTGTTTTTTAATTCAATGCGGACGGAGTCGAGTGCGAAAGCTAGTATAAATATAAATGCAAAGGCATCCATTATTCGTTAAGTTACTGCAGAATGGATCAGGTTGAAATTTAGATCAAAGATCACTGTCTGAACGCAAAAACAAGTTTCTCTAAGCACATTTTAAGCACATGTATTAATATTTTACCTGTACATAAGTAACCATATCACTTAGTTCTCTAGCTATCTGATTGCTCCTTTTCCTGTTGGCGTGTTTAATGCTCCCTCCAGCTTCACCATCTCCCTCACTCCTGCGTAAACTCTGGTAGAGCGAGAGAGAGGTCCGACCGACTTTCTCTTCCATTGAATTCAGAATCTTGTGGAGTTCCTTTTCTGGAAGATAGTTTATTTAATGAGAGAAATACTTGAGAAGAATTTTAAATAAATTGATACAGAAATAGCAAGATTATAGAAATATGATTTTTATACTTGAACATATAATTCTTATTATCTTAACTATTGTTATTCCTATTTATTTTTTGTATTTTTTTTATTGCGATTGAGTGTAATATTAACACGCTCACTGCGTAACAGGCTGATATCGGCCTGACGCGTTACTTAAGCTGGTGCGGACGAAGAAAACTATGTCCCTCTCGCTAGTGCGAAACGTTTATCTCAGGTGTATACATTATGTTTCCACAGAGTTATAGAAATTTAACCTTTTTTAGTGCTGGTGGGTCTAAAATGACCTGTCACGCACTGGCGAAATTATCATTGGGGGCGCATTAAGGCCCGCCGCCGTAACAGATGAAGGATTATGATTTTACTTGCCGCAGTAAACGTGTTAAACACTTGTCTTTTCTTCTTATCTTGTGTTTAATTGACGATTTCTGTTTAGGGTTCATTGGAAACTGACGCTTCGATATATACCGCAGCACATGTCGAATGAACACCAATTCTTATGAATTTTTTCTAAATGTAAATATGATACGATGTTTAGAGGATGTTTGAGAGTAGCCCCAGTGGTTGAGAAGGTAAGGAGTAGAAAGATAGCATGGGGGTATGTTATGAGGAGGGATGAATGTAAGAAGTTAGTTATGAGTACACCGATAGAGGTAGGTAGAAAGAGATGTATTGTGTGAAAGGTGATGTCAAGAAGGTAGTGACAGATGACGTATAGAGTTATTTGGAGGACGAAATCTATGACGTAGGATAAGGAGAGTAAAAAAGTAACATCAAGAAGCGAGTGACAGATGACGTATAGAGCTATTTGGAGGACGAAATCTATGACGTAGGATAAGGAGAGATATAGAAATGTAAAGGCTGTATGTCCTTACCATCAATATCTTCATCATCTTCATCATAATCTTCATCAGAGAAGTATTCAGTGAGCGAGCTGCCGGCGGACTGGTTGGACATTATAGAACTGGTGCGGTTGCTCTGCTCCGGCAGAGAGGCGCTGGTGTGCCTGATACCGTTGGACCTGGGAACGATGGATTCTATACCATTATGAAGAGGAATATTTTTGTATGTATTGAAATAACTCATAAACTACTGGGGCGATTTCAATTCTTTCACCATTAAAAAGCTATCAGTGAGTAAGTTAGGCTACGTTTTTATTATTTTTTTAATTTCACTCAGAGGAGATCGCGTGCAACAGCCAGTATTTAAACAGATTAGATGTTCATTACAAAAATAGGTAATTTACTCAGTGATAACGTAGCTTTTTAATGGTGTAAGAATTATTTAAATCGTTCCCAGTAGTTTTTGAGTTATTTCAATTTCAATTCAATAGATTATACATTTACCCAATTACAACAATACAAAAATTTACTTTCCTCTTTATAAAATTAGTATAGATATAGAAGATGGGATATTCAGACCTGTGGCATATAAAAGAAATAAAGCAGATAGTCAGTTATCGCATGATGTATTCAAACTGATGTATGCTGCAGGGATAGATCCCCTTTGGGGCGTCGCGGTGGCAAGCTAAAGTGATATAGGCGCCCCACATAATGACTAGGAGGGAACAGAGGGGTTTAGTGGGTATGCTCCATTATGGGGACACCAAATAACTCTCGTGTCTGCCCCGAGGCATGGAGTGTGCGTAAGGCATTCTTCTTTGGCAAAAGAAAGGGGGATAGATCCCTTTATATTTTAATAAGCATACTTTGGATATACCTGAACGCCGTGGCCAGAACACCTCCATATCCTTGCGCTGAACTGGCTCCCGTCAGTCCGATTGTGGGGCTGGACTCTATTGGTAGAAGCTTCTTGTTCTTAATCAGCACCTAAAATCATATATACATATATCTAAAAAAAGATTAATAAACAAACAAGGTAAAGAACTAAAAAAAAAGATGTAACTTCAAAGACAACAAGGTTACTGCAAGAACTACAGCAGCAGGAAATAAAGAAAATAATAAAAAAAAACATGAAAACCTAGCAACATTCTGATTTATATCTAAATAATGTCCATTGTATACATACATACAATTATTTGATCTTATACTTTTAGCTAGCGTTATTTCTAAAGGTCTAAGAGACTTGACTAAACAATTGCACAAGACAATCGCACAACAGTGTGCGATTGTCTATTGTTTCGCAGCCTTCAACTGTTTAGTTGCACAACAAACAATCGATTAGTGTACCTCGTAAGGTCATAGGAATCAAAACGAGACTGAACAATTGTGCGATAGTTTAGTCAAAAGTGTGCGCTCTTAATGAGAATAAAAGTTGATAATTACCTTGTACTTGAAAAGGGAGTGACAGAGATGACGTATGATAAGAGTTATTTGGAGGACAAAAACCTGTTGCGCCGAGAGTAGGATAAGGAAGATGATGTATTACCTTGTACTTGAGTTGTTCAGGGCTGGGCAGCCGAGGTTCGTCTGTGTAGTCAACTTCGAACAGGAATGACGTCACCAGCTGCTCTCCGAACACTGCCTGGAACACGCAGCTAGTGTAAAAAATCGAACAAAAAAAGAGACCCACCTGCAAGCACTACCTTTCGGATGGACGCAAACAAACAAACAAAGACAGAAAGATAATGTATTTGGGTTTTTACGTCACAAATAAAATCCTGTTTTCTGAATAATCGAGCCGAATACGTTCTTTATTTTTATGCTTTCTTCTCGTATTCTTCTTTGAGTTATAGAATACAATAAGGTGTTTGGGTTTTAATTAACAAATAGTGTATTTTTTTATAATACAAGGTAGCAAACGAGCAAGTGGCTACCTGAATCCGCCGTAATGGAACGCGACCGCTGTCCATAAACATCTGCGATTGCAGCGTTGCCTACCCTTCATTGACGGAGGAGACGCACATAAAGAGGACATTTCCCTTTCCTATGCGTCTCCACCGTCAAATCCACTTTTCCTTTCCATCCTATATTTTTAAGAAAAGGGTGGAAAGGGAAAGGGACTAAAAATAGGCCTCCGGCACCAAACTCATCAGACTGTACGCAGAGGCTTCCACTTCACGTCTGTCTGTATGGTGGTGGTATTGCTGGCGAGCCCTACAGTGCGAAGATGTTAAAGCGGGCTCTACCACTGTAATTAGTAGTATATACACTGACCTCAAACGTGCTCGCCATTACTTGCTGTTGAGGTAAGCTGCAATGATTTTCGATACTCAAAATCAACGGATACGGAGATGTAACAAATGCACTCCTGTTAAAAGAAAATTTCAATTAAAGAAATGGTTTATTTCTTCCAGATTATGAACATGTATGACAATCGAAATGCGTTCTGTTTAGGTTAACTCTAACATACATTCGCATTTATGTTAACGATTAGTTGTTGCTCGCGACTTTGTCGCGCGTGTATTAAAAAAAATATATACAGACGAATTGAGTACCTCCTTTTGGGAAGTCTGTCAAAATAATCTACGTAACTCACTGATAACGTAACATTTTAATGGTGAAAGAATTTTTAAATCTACCCAGTAGTTTTTGAGTTATTTCAATACATACAAAAATACAAATCTTTCCTCTTAATTATACTAGTCATAGATATAGAAAGGATAGAGGTAGTTAAAAATGTCAGCTTTCGGTCAAAGTAGCGGTAATTATTTTTTAATTATTTAAATGTCTGCAAAGATACAGATTACTAGAAAAGGACTTTTTAGTTAATTTTATCAATATAACTTTCTAGAAAGTCTAAAGAGCAGAAGAAGTAATAAACCTGGCAATAGTTTCCACGACTCTTCTAAAAGGTATCTTAGTAGTGAAGGTGTGTCCGTGATAGATGACTGGACTGCCATCGTCTCCATCCCAGCAATCCAGTTCCACACATCTGCAGCCAGTCAGCAACACCTGGAAATTATATAAACAAGAATTAACACCCGGTACATTCAGACTGATCTGTATATATGAATAGGCATGGAAATGTGAAATGAAAGTTGTGTTACGTTCAAACAAACGCGCCATTTTAAATCAAATATAATTCCATCTCAATCTACATCTATACTAATATTATAAAGAGGATTTGTATTTTTGTATTTATTTAAATAACTCAAAAACTACTGGGACAATTATAAAAATTCTTGTACCAATAGGAAGGTAATTTATCAGTGAGTAACATAGGCTGCATTTGTTATTATTCTTTAATTTCATATGGACAAAGTCGCGCGTAACAGCTTGTTACAAACATAAATATTGTAACTTGATGTTGCTTGCGACTTCGCTGGCGTGGAATTTCGAAAATGTCAAAAACTACTGGGACAATTTCAAATATTCTTTTACCATTAAAAAGCTACGTTATCAGTGTCACCCGGACAAAGTCGCGAGCAAAAGCTAGTGATCAAATGTTAAGGATCTAAGTTCTTACTTGGCTGTACAATTCTACGGAAGATTCTCCTTTAAGTTGATGTCCAGTTAAGTAAGTGTTGTGACTGCTTGCTATATAATATTGACTTAAAGGTCCCTCCATCTGTCTGGACATGGTTCTGCTCTTCTCTTCTTCTTCTTGAGATGGTTTTCTGTGGTTTAAAGATAATTGAATGAGTAAAATTAAGTTTAAAACGAAAGTCTAAAGAGTAATGTATTTAAAGCCCACAACATATCATTAGATGAGGTTATTTAAGAGCTAGTATATACTAAGATTATAAAGAGGAAAGATTTGTATTTTCATATGTATTGTAATAACTGAAAAACTACTGGGACAATTTTAAAAATCTTACACCATTAAAAAGCCATGTTGTCACTGAGTACCATAAGCTATGTTTTATCCTTTTTTAATGTCACGCGGGGAAAGTCGCGTGCAACAGTTAATCTGTTAAGTTTAACTTCAAAGGTCAATTGATTTCAGTTACACTATACGTACCCGAAAAAATTGTTAACTTGCTGCCTTCTCTGTTCAGGAACGAAAGCGTAATTATCTTTGTCGGTTAAAAACCGAACGAAACCTTCAAAAGACAGACAATTCTCCACTCTTAGAGATGGATCTGGTTCATGTCTCTGGAATTAAAAATGCGTTTTTATAGGGAAAGTATTCAATTACCATATGTCATATATGTTTTTTTATTTTTTATATAAATCAATATATTGACCCTGGTATTAATGAAAATAATAAATTCGCTAATTGTCTTCCATTATTTAGAATGCATTTAGCATGTCCGTCTAGTGAAGAGATTCAAATGTATAGAAAAGGCATAGTTAGCTCAAAAAATATTGTTACTAATAACGCCATCTACTGATAGTTCCTCGAAACCATGTCAATATAATTGTGTTTAAATTCACTGCCAATAGATGTCGTTAAATAATATTTATATGTTTAAACTTTTTTTTAACGCTCTTTAGTTTATTTTATAACAAAAGGCGCATATCATGATGATGATGGTGATACTACACCTGTATAATATCTTTCAATTGTTGTTCGTTCTTGGGCTCATTCTGTCTCGTCTCACAGAACTTGCCCAGCGTCGGCAGAGAGAGCACGCGCCCGCTCATATCTGGACATGCTCCTGGAATTATTGAAAAACATCTCCATAAGAAAGAGGTTGCAAAGAATTATGTAGTTACTTAAAAAGAAAGAAGTATTAGACATGTTATACGATGGGGACAAAAACCAGAAAGTGTTAAGATTTCCTTCCCCATTCCTTCCTTATAACAAAAGTAAGAAGTAAAAGCGACTAAATTTAGTCCTTCGGCACACTCATTAGAGTATACTTGGAATTACTTCCACTTCACGTCTTCTATATGACCATATAGTATAAACATAAAGTGTACTCTACCACTGTTACCATCATCAACTTGCCTTTACCCTTCACGGAGGGTCGGCACAGTATGTGCTGCTCCATACATCTCTATCAGCAGTCATATCTGAATCCACTCCTTTCTTAATCATATCCTCTTGCATACAATCCATCCATACTTTCTTCGGTCTTCCTCTTTCTTTGTAGCCATCCACATTTAATCTTAACACTTTCTGGTTTATGTTCCCATCGTCTCGTTGCATAACAACTCTACCACTGCTAAATTTCTAGAATAATATATTTTTCTCAGAATCTTATTATTCTTACCTGGTAATGCAGCAGCTGCTAACAGATCAAAGTCTTTCTTCCTGCTGGCTTTATCACTTGGCGGATCCAGATCTAAAGACCCGTTTCTTGTTAGTAGACCTATGATAGAATAGTTCTTGTTAGCTTGGTTATCCAACCACAGTAGTAGAAGAAACATAGAATTAAGAAATAACTGGTCAGCCAATATCGGTCACCAGATGACGCTAATATATCACAGACAGACAGATAAAAAAAATATTGCGATTTTCATTATTAGCAATACAAATACACCATCATCGCGAAATCTGGAATTTTTCTTTTGATATTACAGACACTCCAATTTTATTATATTACAGATAGAGATTACCTGTTCTGAAAGCAGTCTTGCTGCGGAACAGTTCCGGCGAGCTGCGGCTCTTCTCCGCCAGCAGCGGACAGCGCGGCCGCGGCACCGCCAGCTGCTCGAACACGTCCCGCAATTCTGAACGCATCACTAAACTGAAATGATATAACAATATTATAAATGCATTCTGTCTATATCTATACTAATACTATAAAGATGAAATATTTGTATTTTTGTATTTATTGAACTAATTGTTTGACACTGCCCCAGTAGTTTTTAAAATTGAAGTAATTTAAAAACTACTGGGGTAATGTCAAAAGTTTTAAATCAATAAAAAAGCTATGTTATCAGTAAGTAACATGAGCTGTAATTTTTATTATTTTTTAATTATACACTAGCGAAGTCGCTAGCAACAGCTAGTCTATGCTAATATTATAAAGAGGAAAGATTTGTATTTTTGTAAGTATTTGATTCATGTAAGAATTATTGGGCTGTTTTTAAAAAGTCATTTCCATTAAAAAGGTTATTTATCTGTATGTAACATAGACGAAGTCGCAAGCAACGTCAAGTATTTAATAAAGGGGTTTCTTAGCTTCGATTACCAGATCTATACCGAGGCATTGCTAAAGTAAATAAGGGCTGAAGTTTTACCTAAAACTCCTGAAGAGGGCGACAAAATCAATAAAATCCAATTGTGTGTCGTAATTTACAGAACCAGTTCGTAAATTCTTCAGATGTTCCCAGAATCTCTCACTTGTGTCCAATCTTCGTAAACTGCCAGAAAATAATTTAAACATAGAATGATCTATCTATATACATAAAAAAAATTTGAGTGTCTGTTTGTAAAATCAAAAGAAAAATTACAGATTTCGGGAAGATGATGTATTTGCGTTGCTAATAACAAAAAAATGTTTTGTCTGTCTGTCCGCAAGCCGCGTTTGTTTCGGGTAATTTCCGAAACGGCTGAGCCGATTTTGACCGGGCTTTCACTTAAGGGTAGTTGACATAGACCCGCATATTATAGGCTACTTTTTTAATTCCGCTTCCTCCTTAGTGCAAAACATCTTCTTTATGTGTGTCCCCGTCTGTTAAGGGTTCGTAACGCATCCGCTATTGGGAATGTTTATGGGCAATCACTTCGCCATTTTGGCGGATTCAGGTGGCCGCTTGCTCGTTTGCACATGGTAAACGAGCAAGCGGCCACCTAATATTATAAATGCGAAAGTTTAGATGGATGGATGTTTGTTAGAGTTTGTAGAGTAAATTGCCTAACGGATTTCGATGAAATTTGGTAGAGTTACAGAGGATAGTCTGGAAGGACACATGTGCTACTCTGTTTTTTATTTCTATGCGAACGGAGTCGCGTGCGAAAGCTAATTATGAAAAAAAAACCTTATAAAATGTAGACTGTAAGATAGTTTCTTACCTACTCCTGTTAGGAGACCCTGACATGATGGTGGTGGCGGCGGTAGTGAGGCTGCTGTGTCTCGGCGGGCAGTGCTGATGATGACCAGCCGCCGCTGAGTAAGAACTGAAGAAGATAAAGTGTTAATCTTCTTGGCTTTCGAAAAATGAATATTTAGGCTAATAAGTTTGAAAACTCGGAAAAAAACTAGTGTTTAGTAAAAGAAAAAGATTTATCTTACTTCTTACTAATATTATAAATGCAAAGTTTAGATGGACGTTTGTTAGAGTTTGTAGCCTAAACTGCTGAACGGATCTCAATTAAATTTGGTATAGATGTAGAGTAGTAGATAGTCTGGAAGAAAACATAGATTACTAGCTTTTATTTTTTTATTCCGCCCGAACATAGTCGCGGGCGAAAGCTAGTATGATGTATAGAAACCTGTGTCTCGGTGATCCTTGAGGTATATCATCTTCTCGAAGACCAGAAATCGCGCCATAGTTCTTTGGTGAACTCTTCAATTCGGAAGTCGATTTATTTTTCTGTAAATATAAAAAATCAATTTCAAGAATTAGGATTTGTAAGATTTAGGCAATGGATGTTACGAATGCGTTGCCTACTTTAGGCAAACTACAAATAGGCATATAATACCACGCTTTATAGCCTGTAGTATTTATAAAGATAATACGTTTAAAGCAGTTATTTGTGTATTTACATTTCTTAGCACTATGAGCGTACCAGGTGTTTTAGACCTGGTTTTCGCATTTTGGCATTCAATGTGTTAACAGCCATTTGAAATAACTGTGGGTATAAATGCTTGTTTTAAATTTTGCAATTACCTTGAATTTGATCCCAGATGTCCTTAGTGAGTCGGAATGAGAATCGGTATAAGCTCCCCGAACTGGAGTGGAGTGTGATGATGCAGAGCATGCGGATTCCCTACCACCAAACACCTGAAATTAAATCATCATCATTACCAGCTATACGTCCTCACTGAGGAGCCTACCCTAAGGGTGACTAGGACAACTGCACGACTTCACACATATCTTTGAATTTCTTCACCGATATTTGTATCACGATGTTTTCCTTCACCGTAACGTCGGGTAAATGTACATATGAAATAGTAAAATCGAAGATCACATTGGTACGGGATTCTAACCCGCGATCTGTGGATTACAAGTCAAGTGCTTAAACCCTAGGAGGTAGGGGAGCAACCACCCCTGAGAATACTACTAGGAAAAATTATATTGCCTTCAATCCTTAGATATCCACATAACTAATGCACAAGGGAGGGAAGACAGAAAAGTGACATGCAGACAAGGAAATCAAATTAAACTTACTAATATTTTAAATGCAAAAGTTTAGATGGATGCATGTTTGTTAGATTTTGTAACCTAAACGGCTGAACGAATTTAGATGAAATTTGGTATTGATGTAGAAGAAAGTCTGGAAAAACACATAGTCTACTCACTTTTGTTTTTTTAATTCCACGCGGATTGAGTCGCGTACGAAAACGAGTCATATTATAAATGTAAAAGTTTAGATAGATTGATGTTAGAGTTTGTAGCCTAAACTGCTGAACGGATCGAGATATTTGTCATAGATGTAGAGAATCTGGAAGAGCATATAGGCTTTCTTTTCTTCGTATTCCATGCAGATGCGAAATTTTAGTAGTCCCTAAATAAATACTTACTCTGATAGCATCAGAAACAACAGGTTCACAGCAACAATTATCTTCATAATATAATGCTGTGTATTTGTTTTTGAGCCAGGCGAGGCTCCTGTCCGCGAGCTTCGTTTGTGTCATCAGAGCTCTGATCACCGCGTGAAGACCTACTGCCCACACCCTGGATATAATTAGATTTGTTAATATTATTAATATAAATGTTATAGATGGATGTTTGTTAGAGTAAACCTAAGCTGCTGAACGGATTTCGATGATTGTCATATATAAGGTTATTCTAGAAGACACATTGGCTTTATTTTTGTAATTTTACGCGGAATGTGACGAAAGCTAGTGTCAAAGGGGTTCAAAAACATACAGAAGCATAGTTAACACTTCACTTCAGACATTGAACTACTAACGCCATCTCTTGATTAGATCGTCATAACTAAGTCATTTTTAAATATCTATATTTTATTTTGTAACAATAGATGGAGCTTATTCTAATGGAAAATTTCAAGAAATTACCGGTGAAAAAATGTTGTTCACTGTAGTCTATATATGTATTTGACTTACCTATAAGAATAAGCCGGTAATAAGAAATGTACAATTCTATTGTCACTTAATGTTCTTCCATACACTAATGTGATGATGCGAGGAGTTCCGCAGTCATCCAAGCCGTGTCTCTTCCCGCAGGAGACCAGCTCCAAGATATCTCGCGGTTCTAATAGTTTTCCACCTAAACGCATGTCTTTGACACACTGCAGGTCTATGAACCTGTAAATAGATTTCTCTATACTAATATTATAAAGAGGAAAGATTTGTAAATTGTAAGTATTTAAATAACTCAAAAACTACTGGGACAATTTTAAAATTTTTTCACCGTTAGAAAGTTAATTTATGTGCAAGTAACATAGGCTATATTACTTATTATTTTTTAATTTGATGCGAGCGAAGTCGCGAGCACAGCTAGTCTATCTATATACTTTTTAACAGTGGCAGAACCCGTTTTAACATATTCGCACTGTAGGGATCGCCTCAAATACCACAACCACACAGAAGACAGGCGTGAAGTGGTAGTAATTCCGCGTACACTCTGATGAGTGTGGTGCCGGACACCAAATTTTAGTCACTTCCCTTTCCACCCTTTTCTTATAAGTAAAAGGGAAAGTGGATTTGACAGTGGAGGAGACGCATAGGAAGGGGAAATATCCTCTTTATGTGCGTTTCCTCCGTCGATTAAGGATAGTCAACGCATCTGCAATTGGATGTCTGTGGACAGCGGTCACTTCGACATTTCGGATTATTTCCAATCATCACCCCGCTCTGTCCCCACGTGGGGACATGTGAGAATAAAAAGTTTCATTCGTCCCACTTCTTATCTCCACTATCAAGAATAAGGTGACAGATGGAACCGTTAAGAAATACTTAAGTTCCAAAAATTATCGTCGCAAAAAGTGGGACGGATGAAACTTTTTATTCTAATCTATCCCCACGTGGGGACAGATCGGGGTGACGGTTGGGAATAATTAGCTATTTCGGCAGATTTAGCTGCTTGCTCGTTTGCTACCTTATTAAAGAAAATAGAAGTATTAAGAAAGTGAAAACCAGTTCAACTCACCCTTCATCACCTACAATTCCAGCTTCGTTTTCATGAGCGAGATGTGCTGTGTATTTAATTGGAATGACTTCCTCAGGGTTATAAGAAAGATTTATTTCTGGTTGCTGGATATTTTCTGATGGAGTTTCACCTGAAAATATGAAGTAAATAAGTTGAGACCTAGACTTGAGATGTATCTAAAAATGATTTTATTGTGGATGGTTAGCTTTTGATGGCAACTTATATATCTTACTAATGTTATAAATGCAAAAGTTTAGATGGATGTAAGAGTATCCTAAACTGCTGAACGGATCTTGATTGTCAGATGTAGAGGATAGAATATTAGACGGAAGAACAGAAGCCAAAAAGACAAAAGCCTACAGAGTCAAGGCCGAAAGTTAGTTAGTAAAATAAAATTTAAATACATTAGATTTAGAAGTTCCACTAACCATGTTGTGACTGAGGTCTGTGTGCTGTTCTACACCAGGTTAGTAATGCACAAGCACGCTCTAGTCTCAGATGAGCAAAGGTACCACTCCATTCTGCTTCTCCTACCACACAAGCGGTACCGTGATGCATTATCTGGTACACAACAACATCATCATCATAATGCCTTCCATAGCGAGCTGATGTTCGACCTTTGAATAAACTATCACAATTGTGTGATTGTCGATTGTTTCGCAATCCAACTGTTTAGTTGCACAACTAACGAGTAGTGTACCTTCAGATAAGGTCATAGGAATCAGACTAAACAGTTCTGCGATAGTTTAGTCAAAAATGCGTTCTAAAGACGCTTGATAAGACTTTCCACTTTTAATTTAATGAAATTAGAATCTAATCGATTTTTACAGTACTACGGTCTCTTGTTAGCTTTTGTAGCAATCTTGGTTAAAGTTAGGATTTTCGTTGTTTTTTTAAATAATTACTCTACTTTAACAAGGGTAACTTGGCTTCAAGTTACATTAGACTTTAAGTTGGATATCTATCATACTTCTTACTTGTAACTTAATATTATTAATGCAAAAGTTTAGATGCATGGATATTTGTTAGAGTTTGTACCCTAAACGGCTAAACGGATCGCAATGAAATTTGTCAGAGATGTAGAGGATAGTCTGGAAGAACATATAGGCTACTTACTTCTGTTTTTTTTTTAATTATTCGCGGACGGAGTCTCGAGGGAAAGCTAGTAATATTATAAATGCGAAAGTTTAGATGGATGTTTGTTAGAGTTCGTAGCCTAAACCGCTGAATAGATCTTGATGGAAGTTGGCATAGATGTAGAGCATAGTCTGAAAGAGCACATAAGCTTTTGCGAACGTAATTGCGAGCAACAGCTAGTCTTGTATACATTGCGATGTTCACAGTAAACACATTTACCTGTAAAACATGTCTATCCATTCTTTCTCCATTCTGTGGCGCGAGGGGGAACATGGTAACTCCGTGGTCGTGCGGTAGAGGCTGCACGGGGCAGTATCCTCCCCCCTCTAATTCGTATAGAGCTTCATTCTCAAACTCCCCCCCACTGGTCTTCTGTGACGGCGCGAAGACCGGCTCCTCGCATGTGGTGATTGCTGTTCTGAAGGTAGACGATGATTAATTAAGATTATAGTAAGATTGAACGTGGATGGCTACAAAGGTACAAAGGCTACAAAGGGTCTACCTCTAGGTAGACCAAAGAAAGTATGTACGGATTGTGTGAAAGAGGATATGCTCAAGAAGGGAATGAATTTAGATATAAATACATGAAAGAGCAACACACACCAATTACTCTCCTACTCTCTTCTAGAAAAGTAAGGATAAGAGGAAGTGGGTTTGGAGCACAAAAATGCATATGATAGAAAAATTCCTTGTTCTGTGGTCTTTAAATATGTAGATGTCTGGCCAACTTTTATACTTTTAGCAAAGTGGTCTTCAGATGAAAGAAGTTTATGTTGATCACCTTAAATAATCCCCGAAGACCGGCTGCGTGGTCCTGGCTAGAGCATATCTGTGCTGATGAATACTCGCGATGTGGTCCATCACCGCCTGCGTGCGGTACACCTTCTCCAAGTTGACCAGACCCTCGGGACCGACCCGTCTCCAGCCCGGCTCCTGCTCACCTTCCTCGTCGAATGACGCTATGTACTGGAAATTGGAACACATACTAAATTTAGAGAAATTAAGGAGTAGAAGGTCAGCATGCTATAATATTTATTTTTATAACATAAGGTGGCAAACGAGCAACCGGCCACCTGAATCCGCCAAAATGGCGAAGCGACCGCTGTCCATAGACATCCGCAATTGCAGATGCGTTGCCCACCCTTATCCGACGGAGGAGAAGACGCACATAAAGGGGACATTTCCTTCCTATGCATCTTCTCCATCGTCAAATCCACTTCCCTTTCACATTCTCTCCTTATAAGAAAAAGGTGGTAAAGAGAAAGGGACTTAAATTAGGCCTCCAGCACCACACTCATCAGACGAATCACGGATTTGCTTCCATTTCACGCCTGTCTTCTGTGTGGTCGTGGTATTACAGGGGGCGTGCCGGCCCTGCAGTGCTAACATGTCAAAGCGGGCACTAACACACATGTTATGAGGAGGGATGAATGTAACAAGAAGTTAGTTATGAGTACACCGGTAGAGGTAGACAGAAAGAGATGTATTGTGTGAAAGGTGATATCAAGAAGAGAGTGACTGAGATGACGTATGATAGAGTTATTTGGAGGAAGAAAACCCGCGCAAACCCTACGAAAGTAGAATAAATTAGGGGAGAAGGTGACTAAACTTCATTTAGAAAAATTTGACAGAATTCTGGATCCATATAAAAAACATTGAGAGACACAAAGTTGGAGCTAATAAGAAGGTGTCTTTAATGTAATACTAGCTGTTGCACACGACTTCGTCTCCGTGGAATTAAAAAATCGGCCCAGTAGTTCTTGAGTTATTTCAATACACAAATATAAAAATACAAAACTTTCCTCTTTATAATATTAGTATAGATAGAAATTGAGGCCAAATATGCTAAATGGTTTAAAATAAACCAAATTTATAAACAAAACTCGCTTCGATTACGTTAAGTTTCCCGCGTAGCCACTTACTCTTTGACAAACTTCGGTCTGCAACTTACCGCAACTTACCACTTGTCTGTCGCTCTCGGTAAGTCTCGGATCTCGTTTACAACTGCTCCTCATCGGACTTGTTGTTGTACTCTGATCGATTTTCTTACTCTCCCTTCTGCTGTCTTTTCTTGGTGGTGTTCGACTAAAAAGATAAGTCGCGCATTGACTAAACTATCGCACAACTGTTTTGTCGCTTTGATTCCTATTATGGAGGTTACTCGATTTTTATTCGTGCAATTAGTTCTACAACTAAAAATCGAGTAGTCGAATTGTCGAAACAATCGACAATCGCGTAACAGTTGTGCGATTGTTTTGTCAAAGGTGTGCTCCCGGTCTTAAGGAAATAATCGTCTCGCCTTTTTACGGTCACTAAATTATTGTTAATGTCGAGGTATCGTCCGAAAACGTTAGCGAAAAAAGGCCTATAATATGCTCGTCTATGTCAGCTACCCTCCAGTGAAAGTGTTTTTTTTTAATAATAAAAGTGAGCAGCGGCGACATCACCGAGGTGGTCAACGACGCCCAGACATCCGCAACACCAGAGGAACTACAGATGCGTTGCCGGCCTTTGACGAAATGATAAGCTCGCTTCTTGAAGGACCCTAAGTGCCGTCAAAACCAGCCTAGTCGTTTTGCATATTACCCAATAAGGTGAAAAGACAGACAAAAAAGTTTAAATGCAACTGATGATCAAGGCAAATACTTTTGAAAACCGTATTTCTTTTCGATATACGTACAGACATTCCAATTTTAAATATTTGTATTGAAAAAATTAACAAAGTTTACCTTTCTTCTTTAAGTGAATCTCTTTTGAACTCTCTTTTGTGTGTTGGAGTGGGTGTAGAGGTGACAGAATGGCTGCTGGTCAAAGATGGCGTTGTTGCCAAAATTTCTCTAGAACAAAACATTATTAAACATTAACATATTTTAATAAAAAGTCCACTAAAAAAGTTACTTAATGGTTTAAAATGCCAATAATTAAATCCACAAAACTAGTATTCAATAAAAACTCGATTTAATATTTTATTAAAATAAATATGTTTTTATAAACATTACGTAAAAGAACGTTGTATTTCCAGTTTTTTCATTTTAAAAAATGAATACTGTCCACTTATAAAATGCGCTTGCATATTAGAAAAAACATTGCATTTTTTTTCTATTTCAACGGCCACTCGCATTTATAACCGGCCAGCTAATGGCGGGAACATTACTAAAAAGCGCGCGAACAATGCTCACAGCAATTACACAGATTAAAAAATAACACAGCAAAGAGTAAATGTAATGGAATTTCTTGATTAATTAAAAAAATGTTTGCTTAAAAAATACTCAATCCTTAAAAACAAACATGTAAATTATACTAATATTATAAATGCGAGATTTTAGAAAGTTTAGATGGATGTTTGTTAGAGTTTGTAGCCTAAACGGCTGAACGGATTTCGATAAAATTTGGTATGGATGTAGAGGATAGTCTGGAAGAACACAGGATACCCGCTTTTGTTTTTACTTTACTACGAAAGCTATAACAAAAATATATTCTAAGAGACAGCCACAGACAGAAAGCATTAAATTTTTAATTGAAATTGTAACTAACATTTTAAACTAGCTTTTGCCCGCAACTCCTTATGGAATTAAAAAAAGTGGCCAAACCAAATGTGTCAAGCAAAGACTCATCAGAGTACGTGGAATTGTTTCCAATGGACGCCTGTCTTCTGTGTGGTTTTATTTCATTGCGACGATGTTAAAGCGGGCTCTACAAATGTTATAGGAATCTTACCTTAATTTCCTAAGAAAAGCTCCAAAGAACGGTATTAGTCTGCATTCAGGCATAGCTAGTGCTCGGCCCAGGGCGCGCTCGTATTCCGCTGATAACAGCGCGGCGGAGAGGAAGTCCAAAGCTGGTAGAGGCTCATCGGATACGGTGAACCAGAATGCTTTCAACTTCTTGGACCTGGAAAGAGTATAGGAAAATTAACACTTCATCATCATCATCACCAGCTCACTATACGTCCCCACAGAGAGGCACGGAGCCTACCCTAAGTTAGTGACTAGGACATAGTCAACCTGCACTGTGGGTTGACTTAACACATATCTTTGAATTTCTTCGCCGATATGCATCACGATGTTTTCCTTCTCCGTAAGAACGTCAGGTAAATTATATATACATGTAAAAATTCGAAAATCACATTGGTACGGCGGGATTTGAACCCAAGACCTGTAGATTACAAGTCAAGTCAATTTAACACTTGTTCTTATAGAAATAAGGTATGTTATTGTATGTAATACTTAAAGATTAATTGAGCTATTTGGAGATGATAGTACACACAATTATGATAATTTATACTATTATAATAAAGCGTAAACACACACTTCTTTGTTGCCCAAGATGTCAGCAATTACAGCATATATTTGAATAATTCTTTTTTTCATAAAAGCCCTACACTTACGTCACGCTTTAGGATATGTATTTTCACGCTATTAAACTTAGGGAGTAAGTTTTGGATAAAGACTCTGATGTGGGAAAAAGACCATAAGCTGCTGTCAACATCAAAGAAGCAAGGTTGCCATGTTTTGTCAATCATGTCACGTCATTTTTACATTTGCAATTGAATTTGGCAATTGTAAACAATAAAACATTTATCATAATTTCATGCGAATGAAGTCGCCCGAGAACAGCTAGTTTTGAATAACGAATAGCTTTTGCCCGCGAATCCGGGCGTGGAATTAAGAATAAACAAAAGAAGCCTATTTCTTCTTCCAGACATGTATGCCTCAACGAAATCCGTTCAGCAGTTTAGGCTACATACTCTAACAAACATCCATCTAAACATTCATAATATTAGTTAGATACTAGTAAGATTAAACTAGCTGTTCTCATGCGGCTTCATCTGCATGAAATTACAAAAAAAATATTTTATTGTTTACATTTATCAAATTACAAATGACAACCTTGCTTCCTTGATGTTGGCAGCAACATGTGGTCTCTTTCCTACATTAGAGTTTTTATCCAAAATATATACCCCATATGTTTAATGGCGTGAAAATATATAGCCTAAAGCGTGACGTAAATGTAGGGCTTTTTATTAAAAAAAAGAATTATTCAAAAATATGCTGTAATTGCTGACATCTTAGGTAACAAAGAAATGTGTGTTTACGCTTTATTATAATAGTATATATTATAAGGTCCACCAATACTACAAATATATACTTAGTTATTTATTTCAGTAAGTTAATAACATTTGGTACATTTTATCATTGAAAAACTAACATTTTTAAATAATTTTCTCTAGTAATAGAATGAAATGGAGACATCTGAAAAAAATACATTCAAACAAAAAAAAAACTCGAATCCTATTCAAATTCAGAAATCGTATTTCCCTAGTCAATTTCATTTATTGTGTAAAAAAGTCAGGGAATGGAAATAAATTGACCCATATCGATATTAACACCCTTTTACAGAGGTTAGCAAACTTCGGCTTATAATAGAAATGTCATAATGACGTGACATGATGACAAATGGCAATCTTACTGTTTGATGTTGGGAGCTTGTAGCTTATGATCCCTTTCCCACATCAGTGTTTTTATCCAATTTATTTACCCCCTAAGTTTAACATCGTGAAATTAAGCCTAAAGCGTGAAGTAGGGATTTTTAATAAAGAAAGAATTATTCAAAAACATTCTGTGATTGCTGACTTTTTACGTCACAAAGTAGTGTGTGTTTATGCTTTATTATATTGAGTATAGAAATATAAATATAGAATTGATAACCTTCTTTTTGGAGTCAAAGTCAAAATAAGTATTAATTTCAAAGTGTGATAAGCATATCCTTTTTTGACCGACTTCCCAAAAGAAGGAGGTACTCAATTCGTCTGTATGTTTTTTTTTATGTATGTTACGGCATAACTCCGCCGCTAGTGGACCGATTTTGATAATTCATTTTTTATCCGAAAGGTAATGCTTGCAGGTGGGTCCCATTTTTTTGTTTGATTTTTGGAGCTAAAGACTACGACGTAGTTAAATAGTTTAGCTCAAAATCGCGCGACGAAATTTCGGGTCATTTTTGCTTTCTTTGCTTACGTAGCCTAAACTATAAGACCTACATAAAAATGATGTATGGAAGAATTGTAGCCCTTTAAATTTGCTAAATAAAAGTCCGCGATAGCATATATCAATGTCAATGTAGATTCATTACTTAAACGTTACTATACTTTCAATTGTCAATTGTTATGGTAAAAATGTGGAAAGCAATACGTAGAAATATCACTGCATACCTTGGCTGACACCGACTTCAAAGTAATAATAATTGTACAATATAGACAAAACAGCTACAATAAGGTAGGTTTACTATTTTCAAGGTATTATTTCGTTACTTTTTAGTGCACTGTTTTTTTTGAGAATATTTTGTTTTTAGTGTATTTTGTTTGGAAGTCGGTTTTTTTTTTATATTCTTGGTAGAAATTCGTCCTAAAAATGACACTTTTAGGAAAACTATAAATGGAATGACTTGCTACAAAATCAATCAGATACGAAAGTACTGGAGGTCACAGTTTACAATAAAAAAATATAAAAACAAACAAGGTTGTATACCCCTGCGTTAGTCGATAGTTCAGGCCGTACGGGGGAGGAAGAAAATGCAAGATTAGTAGCCCGCGGCACGCGCTCGCCGTTTCTAACGTGGTACTGACACTTCTAACATAGATGTATTACACTGGATGCGTCTTGCACACCTGTGTCATAGAAAATAACAAAAAGCATACATTCCGGAAAGGTCGTGTGAAACTGTTGTTAAGTTTTTAATCATACTAATATTATAATTGCGAAAGTTTAGATGGATGGATGTTTGTTAGCGTTTGTAGCCTAAACGGCTGAACGGATATCCATGAAAATATGGCACAAATTTAGAACATAGTCTGGAAAAACACATAGGCTACTTTTTATCCCGAGAATAGTTACGGTTCCCGTGGGATTCATAAATTTAGTTTTTTAATGTTTACTCGATCATTCTGCAACGGTTCAGCATATCTTATTGAAATTTGGCACAGATATAAAAGAAAGTCTGGAGTACAAATGTCCGGTTCCCGAGGGATACGTAGCTTTTTGTAATTTATATAGTTCGTATGTCTTATAATACCACGCGGACGAAGTCGCGGGCAACAGCTCGTATATTACAAGGTGGCAAACGAGCAAGCCATCGGAATCTGCTAAAATGGCGAAGCGACTGCCCATAGACATTTGTCATAGCGGATGCGTTGCCTACCCTTAATCGATGGAGCAGGAGACGCACATAAAGAGGATATATCCTCTTCCTACACGTCTCCTCCACCAAATCTATACTCCTTTTCTATCCTATTTTTATTAGAATAAGGGTAGGAAGAAAAAGAGACTAAAGTTGACCATCCGGTACCACACACATCAGACGAAATGCGAAATTGCTCTCACTTCACGCCTGTTTTACATGACCGCAAGTGGAAAAACGTCTATGGATAAAAAGTTAGTATATTTCTAATTTGCGCTAAAACTGAATTGAAATTTCCTAAAGGTTGGTACTATAAAGATATCGTTTCCAGTTATTCTTTATATCAATGTTGGCATTTCTCCTGAGCGTAGTAATTCCAATCTCACTGTAATTGGCAATGTTGGGAACGATTCGAACAAAACATTCTAACGAATGATACATTACTTTTAACAGAGTACGATTTTACGATATCGATTCTTAGCTTGTAAATCGATTTCATCATCATCTCCTCTGCCTTACCTACTCCCGTAGGGTCGACGCACCGGGTTTTCGTCCTCCAAAGCATTCTATCATCCGGCATCTCAGTCATCACTCCCTTCTTGATCATGTCACCTCTCACGCAATCCATCCATCTCTTTCTAGGTCTACCTCTACCGATGTACCTCCACATTCATAACTAACATCCTTCTTGTTACATGCGATTCATCCCTTTTCATAACATGCCCATACCACTCTAACCTTTTACTCCTTATTTTTTCAACCACAGGGGCTACTCTCAAACTTCCTCTAATATACTCATTTCGTATCGTAGCTTGTAAATCGATAATCGAATTTTTATATAAAACCAACAGATACAATAGAACCTCGATAACATAAAAAGCTCTATAACTTCAAAAAATAATATGTTCCCTTCTCATGAGAAAACCTCTACAACGTAGAACCTTGATAACTTAAAACCTCTATACCTTAAAGTATTTTGTGTTTCCCTTGGACTTTAACTTATCGAGGTTCTACTGTAATACTGTAGATGTATCCTTGAAAACATCGAAAAACGAATTAGAAATGAAAATAAGACGAATGAAGATTGATACCGGATTTTACAATGTTTAAAATTTTGTTTCCCACTTCCACTATATGTGCTTTATTGTGAACTAGTTGTTCCCGTGCGACTTAATCCGCATAAAATTATGAAAATTTTATTTTATTGTTTACATGTGTCAAATTTTCAATTGCAAATGTCAAAATGACGTGACATGTCAATCCATGGCAACCTTGCTTCCTTTATATTGGCAGCAACTTATAGTCTCTTTCCCACATTAGGGTTTTTATCCAAAATATTGACCCTCTAAGTTTAATGGCGTGAAAATATATCCTAAAGCATGTAAGTGTAGGGCTTTTTATTAAAAAAAGATTTATTCGAAAACATGCTGTGATTGTTGACATCTTAGGCAACAAAGTGTGTGTTTACGCTTTATTATATTAGTATAGATATACTCTGTGACAGTCCAGTAAAAAAGACGAATCGATTAACAAGATAATCTAATTCATCCAAATGGATTAAATCCATAACACTAGGTCATGACAATGATACTCACATATTAAGCGCCCACACATTTTATAAACTATCTGACAAATGTTTAGACCCGCTTTGATTCCTATGAGCTTGTATGGAGGTACACTACTCGTTAGTTGCAACTAAACAGTTGAATTGCGAA